GGGCGCAGGCTGGGATGAGGGGACCACCCCCCTCCCCGAGTGCACATATTTCGTGCACCAAGCCTCTAGTAAGTCATATTCAGAAAATCTGCCTTCCAAATTGCATTCACTAATTATCTTTGCCATTAAGAAAACAAATATTTAACCACCAACCAGAGCTTTTAGTTTTGCCACTTTATAAGTGGGTGACTCTGCGCAGCCATTTCACTTCGCTAAGTGAATGAGCTCAAATTTAAAGAGATTCAAAAGTAACTTCTAGACCACCATCACTGCCTTCAAGAAAGATGAGTGCTACTTTCGTAGCATTTACATCCTGTCTGACCTCTGGGGCATCCTTGTCAACCACTTACAGCCATTCCTCCCATTTGTTGTATTCAACTTAATCCAGGACTCTCATACCTTGTAGTGCATTTCCAACTGTCCACCTTTCCTCATGGCCAAACCATCTATCCCTTATACCTTCTTAGACATGAACTGAGGCAGATAATGTGTGTGAGGGTGTATGTGTGTGTGGGGGGGGGGGGAGGGGGGCGGGAGGGAAGTACATAGCTGGAGACTTAAAAAAAAAAGTAGGGAGATTCTTTCTGGGGAACACTCCAGAGGGGTCTGCTATTCTGGGTGACTTCAAGACTGTTTCAGACAATATGGCTATTACTGGTATATGTTGCAAAGTATATCAGCTCACTCTTAGCCACAGAACCACCAATAATTCTAGCTGTTGCTAAGGGCTGAAAAAACAAAATCAATATGGTTTCTTGAAGGCCTTTCAATGGTGCCTGTCTGTAGCAGAACACTTTTGCAAATCATCTCCAAGTATATGGGTAATTTATATTCTTCTTGTCACCTTCCTTTATATTTTTCTGCATATTTTTAAAGGCTTAAAATTTCTGGCTCTCCTACATGTAACAACAGATCTGTTAAGGAGGAAAGAAGCTAGCTAATGCTAGACATGATAATAGGCTTGAAATAAATGTATTGGAAGTGGGGATGAAATACAGTGTAGTGGTTAAGTGAAGACTCTAAAGCCAGACAGCTTGCTATATGACCTAAAGCAAATTATTTAAATCTCCAAGCCTCAATTTACCCATCTATAATCTATATATAAAAAAGGCTAAGTGACCGTCTGTCTGGCACATGTGACTGGCATGATGTGCACTGATGTGTACATGAGTTGCTGAGCTGCAGGGACTCAGTGGTGGCTCTCAGGTGACACACCCCGGAACCAGAGAGGAAGGAGCCCGATTGCTCACTGGGCCACCTGATTCCTCTCTGGGCTGCACGATTCCATCTTCGACCGTGGGTTACATTGCTTTTATATCATGTTTTTAAATCTTGTTTTTGTTGTTTTTATATTGTGACTTTGTTGTTGTTATATCATGTTGTTATTGTTTGTTCATTAATCAATTTGTTATTTTCATAATACATTTTACTAATTTTCTTTCATTTCTGACACTTCTATTAGAGAAAGAGTAAACAGCAATATTATAATATTTCTTCTAATTAATTTCCTTTCAATGTGCACAAATCCATGCACTGAGCTACTGAAGTATGATTATAATAATCGTACTTCATAGTCTGCTGTTACAGATTACTGTGAGATTTAGCTGAGGCAATGCATGTAATTGCTTATCCTAACACATCATAAATGCTCCAAGATAGTTTGTTGTTATTACTTAGTATTTTAACCAACTCTGCTGGTTAGGCATTACTATTCCCATTTTACAGATATGAAACTATAATATCAGGATCAGAATCCAAAACTACCTCAACTCTGGAGCTCACATTCTTCCTATCACTTACTGGTCATGTTTTGTGATTTTCAAAGAATGAAAAACTAGGTTTGACTCCTTAAGGAAACTGAAATTTCTAGATTGTTTAATAGTAATAAGACAGAGGAACTTGAGGAAGAAAAAAAAAATGGTTACCAAGCTATAATAAATACCTGCACCAGTACTTTGAAGACAGACTGGAAGACATAGACAATGGTTAGGAAGGAGAGTTGAATAACAAAACTGTATGAGCTGCCATTCTAGACAATAAACATTTAGAGTCTGTCATTAAATTTGGGAATCCTAGGACTTCATATCCATCTCTTGGAGAGATATAATACCTACTAGAATGAAAGAAAAATTAACCCTTTGTCCTGCTGCCATTCAGAGTAATCATGTACATCACATTCCAGTCAAACCCTCAGACAAACCCAAGAAACCTGTTTAAGTCTGTCCTCCAAATAAATCATTCCTTGAACATTTCCTATAAGTTACTAATGTCTAGAAATAAGACTTTAGTGGTAAGATAGCTTAGTTGATTAGAGCGTCATCCTGATACACCAAGGTTGTCCCCAGTCAGGGCACACACAGGAATCAACCAATTAATGCATAGCATAAATAAGTGGAACAACAAATAGATGTTTCTCAACTGAAAAAAATAAAATAAAAAGGACTTTAGTGAATAAGATAATAAAGCGAGAAAGGCTTTTCCACCATGAACACACTAATGTAAACTTGGAACTCTTGGTAATACCGCAGGGTTTTTTGTGTGTGTTTTTTTTCCATTTAAATATATGTTCAGTCCTTAGGAGGGCTGATTGCTTCACTTTCTTTGGCAAGTGAACTTTCTGTAGTTTTTGCCTATGTTTTTCTTTCACATGAACCTATTAAAAGCTATGAAAAGTCCTGCAGGAAAGAAACTTTCATTTAGCATTTCTAAAACTTGCTTGGGAGGCCATATAGTCTACAAGAACATGGACTCTGATGCCACAGCTCTGCCACCTGGAAGCTAAATGACATTGGGTAATCGTTTCAATGTGGAGGCTCAGATTCACAATCTATGGAATAGTCCTGGTTGCTGGACTATAAGCAATACGGCTGGCAGAGCACTCAGCATGTTGTAAGCCCCCTCTCCCCTCGCCCCCAACAGAATCGGACTGTATTTATACAGAAGTGATCCCTCCCAACATTCCAACTCACTCTTAGTTTACATGCAACATCGTGCAGGACGCCCCTGTTTGGCAAACAAAGACTAAAGCTTTCAGGTCAGGCCATCTCCTGGTACAGAAAATAACCAAGATGATGCTGATTTAAATTCTTATTCCTGCAATTAGATGTGAAGTTTGGGGCAAGTCTCAAGTCTTTCTGAGCATAAGGTTTCAGTATCCGCAAAATTAGATTCTACCCAGAGTTGAGATCCGATTATAAAACATTGTATAAATGTGCACTTTTTTTGTGAACCCCTTTAGGAGCAGTAGCCAGAATCCGCTATAGTCCACAATGACTTAAGACATTGCTCCAACAGGGATGTAAAAATATAAACAGTCACATTAAACAAGAGCTGGAGCCGCTGGGACGGCCTTGCAAGTCTTACCCCTCAAGCCTTTGTAATGTTAAAACAAGGCAAAATAGCCTTTACTGGGCCTAAAGCAACATGGTGCCCCCAGAGAACCCTTAGCAAGGAAAACAAGAAAGCAGATATGCCTAAGGACTTAACATTAAAAACACGATCCAGAATTAGCATCACAATGTTAGCTTACCTGCATCAATACAAATGCCTTCCTTCCATAGATGTCATTGTTCCCCTTCACTTTCTCCTAAATACCCCTTTTCTTTGTTTCCTAATTAAAACACTATGTGGGTTTCGGCCTGAATCAGTGATTCCCCCAAAAAGACCTTCTTCTTCTTCTTCTTCTTCTTCTTCTTCTTCTTTTTTTTTTTTTTTGAAAACTCAAATAAATGTGTATTGCCGCTCACTCTGAAAAGGCTTTTCAATTTTAAGTACACTGGGGAAACTTTATACAAATAAAAACAAACACACACGTCTTCACAAAAGACTTTCTAGCACAAATAACCTAGTGCAAGTCTTTCCTAGAAACGCTAAGTGCAAATCTCTGACCGCTGCTTAACATAAATCAGCTGGGCCTTGGCTAAATTGAACCGTTAATTACACACCAATGCTAAAAGGAAAATTGTTTTCAGTCGCTTCTCAATTATTCATGCTAAAGAAGAGAAATAACAACATCAATGATACCTAAACAGCGTATTACATAATCAAACGAACATCCTTTTTGGCAATGTTTCCCAAGCAAGTTTAATGGAGAACAGTTATTAAAATAAAATTTGTACTTTCCAAGTTACCAGTTCAGCAAGAGAAGCATCCCAATCCTGGTGACGAACGCACAGAAACCGCGGTGTCACACAACCAAACCATTTCTATTTCATCCGGTTCTGAGTTTTCCACAGAAATTCACCCACTGCCATTGTATTTCTCCACGTAAATGGGTTGCCTCGGTATGAGGATCCCTTAACCCCTCCCAGCCTGCCTCCTGCGCTGGGAAATGGAAATCACATTTGCCTAATACTGTTATTGTGTGAAGCCTAAAGACAATGAATACTAAGGCCTTGGAAATAGGAGGAGCGCTTCAACTTTCAACAACAACAAAAACACCCTACTTACTGTTATTTCTGCGAACAACAGTGCTTACTGGCTTATTTTCGGTAAGTTCAGGTCGGAGTTCTTCGAATTCTCAGAAAACCAAGGCCGCTCTCGGGCCTCAGCTTCTTCGAGGCCCTCATCACCGACCAACAACCCCCTCCTGGGCCGCGTCCCCTTATGGAAACGACCTTTTCGCGTTCCCTCACTCGAACCCAAACCTCCTTTTCCTGCTCGACGGTAAGTTCCGAGGGCCCTGGGCCCTTGGTCCAGGCCCAGGCCCCCGCAGGCCCCTGGCTCGGACGTCCTTCCAGCCCCCGGGGGCCGCGCTGCCAACTCGAGCTCTCGGCCCCGAAACACGGCCTCACACCGCCGGCTCCCCGGCTCGGGCCCGGCGCCAGCTCCCCCTGGAAACGCCGCCGGACGGGGAGCTGAGCAGCCTTCCACGAACCCGCTCCGGCCTCAGTTTCCCCGGCGGCTGCACGAGCGCGCCCTCGTCGCTCAGGATCCGGGGGGGGGGAGACGCCCCAAACGACCCCCCGGCGCTCCGGGGTCCCGCAGAGCCGCAAACTAACCTGCAAGTGACCTGTTTGGTGCTCATGGTGGTCGGGATCGAGGGCCGTGGTCGTCCTACCGCCGCCTCTTAGTCTGGCCGCCGCCGTCGCCGCCTCGGCCCTGCCACTCCCGCGCGGCCGCGTCACGACGGCGCACGGCGCACGCTGCCCCGCCTCCCCGTGCGCACCTTTGTAGCGCCGGCCGGAAACCCCGCCGCCGTCACAATTGGTTCCGCCCCGGGGTGGAGGCGGAGCGGATGCTCAGGCTCTGCATTCCTCGTCCCGCCATTTCCAAGCCTCCTGGGCGGGTGCTAGCGGGCTCCCTAGTTTTGACGGTCTTGATACCGAGTGCGGTTAGCACCTACGGATCTGCTCCTTCTCCAAGAGCTTTCTTTAGCGACAGCTCGCATCCCTAGAGTCACCTCACCTCTCGGGCGGCTAAACTCCCGCCTCTCCTCTGCGCATCTTAACCCCAACACCTGGCCTGTATGTAGATATATTCTCCCGGACCCCTTTCTCAGGCCCTGTCTCAACGGTTACCTCAGACCTCGTCTCCCAAGTAAGGAATCCCGCTTAGACCTCTTCCAATTGCTCTTTTACAAAATATCTACTCCCCAAATTTTCATTTTCTTTCCAAGCATTTCTCTATTTGTCTTCCATTTCCTATGGTGGAAACCCAGAAAGATAGTTTTTAAATATATATATATATTTGACTTCTTACAGAGAGGAAGGGAGAGGAATAGAGAGCTCTACACACACAATCATGCACATCGTCCTGGGGATGTGCCTGCGACCCAAGGTACATGCCCTAGACCAGAATCGAACCTAGACCCTTGAGTCTGCAGCCTGATGCTCTCTATCCACTGAGCCAAACAGGTTAGGGCCCAGAAAGGTAATTCTTGACACGTTCTTCTGGTTCTCTATATCCTGCAAAATCTGCACCTACATTTGAGAGCAGACCCTGCCCTCCAATGAATCCTCTTGTCTCCATTTCTACTTTTATGGTTCTAGTCTGAGCAACCCTCACTCCTCCCCTGGGCCCATGCAATGGCCTCCTAACTGCTCTTCTGGCTTCTGCTCCTGCCCCCTGCTAGTCCGTTGTTATACAAAACCTAATTTGGTAAAAGTAAATCGGATCATGTCATTAAACTCTTTTAAACATTTCAATGATTTCCTATTGCCTTTAAAAAAATTCTTTAAAATTTTTTAAAACATTGAAATATAACAGACAAAACACATATGCTCCCATGAATTTTACATATGTATACACTGATGAAAGCACCACCCAGATAAAAGAACATTATCAATACCCCAGAAGGCTCCCTTACACCCCTTTCCAATCAATAGCTCCCAAAGATAAGTGTAAATCTCACTTCTATCATCATAAATTAGATTGTTCTTGACCTTGATATAAATGAAATAATTCATTATGTACTTTTTTTTCCTTTTTATCTGTGTACCTATCTTAGTATGTACTCTTTGTCTTCTTTTGACCAATATTATACCTGTGAGACCTATATGTGTTGTAAAAACAACATATAGCCGTCAGTGTTGATGTAAACATACTATGAGAACTATAACTGTATGTAGTTCTTTTACTTTGCTTTTGTAAAAGTATTGCCTTCCAATGAATGAGCACAGTATATACTTCCAATTAGAACTTTTGAAATTTCAGAAATTTAGGAACTACGTTGGGAAATTTGTCATTTTCAGTGTACAGGTCTCTGACAGCTTTTATTAGATATATTCCTAGGTATCTAGATTTTTGGGATGCTGTTTTAAATGATTTTTTTTTAAATGTCCTAATTGTTGTCGCTTGTTCCATGCTATATTTATGTATTAATTCTAATGGTTTGGTTGTTGATTGTTTTGGATTTTCTACACACACAATCATGCCATCAGCAAATAATGAGTTTTATTTCATTTTCAATATTTATATATTTTCTTTTTTTAAAATTTTATTTATTGATCTTGGAAAGAGAGAGAAAGACAGAGAGAGAGGAGAGAGTTGTTGTTCCATTTATTTATGTATCCATTGGCTGATTCTTGTGTGCCCTGGATCAGGATTGAACCAACAACCTTGGTGTATCAGGACAACGCTTGAACCAATTGAGCTATCCTTTATTTCTTTTTCTTGGCTTACTGCTGAGAACTCTCAGTGTAACCTTGAATAAAAGTGGTAACAGTGGACAACCTTGTCGTGTTCCTGAATTCAGGGAAATTATTTAGTATTTCACCATTAAAATGTTAGCTCTAGGGTTTTTGAAGCTACCCATTATCAAATTAAAGAAATATCTTTTTCTTTAAAGTTTTCTTAAGAGTTTTTAAAAATATATATTTTATTGATTTTTACAAAGAGGAAGGGAGAATGTGTTAGAAACATCAATGAGAGAGAAACATTGATCAGCTGCCTCCTGCATGCCCCTTACTGGAAACCAAGGTACATGCTTTTGACTAGAATTGAACTTGGGACCCTTCAGTCCACAGGCCAACACTCTATCCACTGAGCCAAACCGGTTAGGGCTTCTTAGAGTTTTTATCATGAATATGTCTTAAAAAAAAAAAAAAAATCCTTCCCCATCTATCAAGAAAGCCATATTGTTTTATTATTTATTCTGTTATATTATTCTTTCTATAAGTCATTAGATCCTATTTGTTAATATTGTGTTTAGGATTTCTTTATCCTTGTTCATGAGAGATAGTGGTCCGTAGTGTTCCTTGAATGTCCATGTCAAGTTTTAATATCTGAGATATGCATGAGTTTGAAAGTCTTCCTTCTTTTCAATTCTCTGAAAATGTCTGTGTAATGTAGGTATTACTTTTTTCTTAAATGTTCAGAATAATTTATCATGGGAGCCATTTCGTCCTGCAGTGTACTTTAGCTTTGTTCATTTTTTGTATTGAATGTATGATTTTTACTTCAGACTTCTGCTCTAATCTTTATTATCTATATTGTTAAGTTCAAATTGTTCTTGTTTTCTAGCTTCTTCTTTTTTAAGTATTTAAAGCTATAATTTTCCCTCTAAGCCCCTTTTAGTTGTATTTCACAAGTTTTAATGTCATTATGATTAGACTTGAAATATTTTCTAATTTCCATTGTTATTTATTCTTTGACCCATAAATTATTTAGCAGTATGCTGCTTAATTTCTAAACTACTGGGAATTTTCTAGTTAGCCTTTTCTTATTGATTTCTTTTTATTTCTAGTGCAACCCCCCCTGTGGAATTGTCTATTATCCTTTTAGTTTGGTTTACACTTTGTATATATTTTTTGAAGTATGTTTTTAGGTTCAAATAAATTTAAGATTGCTCTTCTGTTTTTCCAACACATTATGACCAATAAATTTCCCTCTTTGTGTGAGTTGCCATGTGATTCAGGACAGTGTTATGTCAGTGAAAGAATTTATTCACTTCCTGTTGTACACTATGTAAAGACGTATACAAAAGATTTTTCTGAGAATGTTAGTTGTTCGTTGCATCAGGATACTGTTTTCAGTGAAAGAATGTGTTGACTGCTGGGACCGGTTTGGCTCAGTGGATAGAGCGTCGGCTTGGGGACTGAAGGGTCCCAGGTTCGATTCCGGTCAAGGGCATGTACCTTGGTTGCGGGCATATCCCCAGTAGGGGTGTGCAAGAAGCAGTTGATGGATGATTCTCTCATCAATGTTTCTAACTCTCTATCTCTCTCCCTTCCTCTCTGTACAAAATCAATTAAATATATTTAAAAAAAAGAATATGTTGACTACAGACAGAATGGTGCATTTAATACACTATATAAAAGATGCTTCTGAGAGTGCTAGTTCAAAAAAAGAAAATATCTCAAAATTAATAGAATTATATCAACTTTCTTTCACGGAGCCACACTGGCCAAGCTAGTTGGTTAGTTTTAAAATGCAGCCTGAGAACCTCTCACACCCTCTCCTAGTCAGTAAGTACTACCTAGGGTAACCACTATCTTTTTTCTTCTTCTTTTTTTTAAAAAATATATTTTTATTGATTTTTTTTTTTTTATAGAGAGGAAGAGAGATAGATAAAGAGATAGTTAGAAACATCGATCAGCTGCCTCCTGCTCACTCCCTACTGGATTATTCGGCAAGTGATCCAGTGGTTTCGACAAGTAACCACTATCTTTATTTTTACTGTGCTGTTAATTTTAAAAAAAAACAAACACATATATTTTATTGATTTTTTTACAGAGAGGAAAAGAGAGGGTTAGAGAGTTAGAAACATCTATGAGAGAGAATCATCGATCATCTGCCCCTTTCACATGTGCCCGCAACCAAGGTACATGCCCTTGATCAGAATCAAACCTGGGACCTTTCAGTCTGCAGGCCAACACTCTATCTACTGAGCCAAACTGGTTTCGGCTGTGTTGTTAATTTTTTATGAGCAAGATTACCTTTACAATATAAAGCATCAAAAGACAGTAACCTCAAAGTAAGGTTACTTATTCAAAACCAAAACGATATAAACTTTTCCTAGACACACACAAAAAAGTGGAGATGCCTAATTCCAAGAGGCGCTTAGACTTATGACTAATTAAAGGACAGTGCCCTGGTGGAAACATGAACCCAGTGGGGCAGTGCCAGGGAACGCTGGAGGAGGCGGAGAAAGTTTTCTCAGAAACCTAGGGCTTTAAAGCATGAGTAGGAGCTGGCTGCCAGCAGAAGCAAAATGTGTGAAGGCTAGAAAAAACGGTATTGTAAGCAAGCACAAACGAAAGGGAAAATGAAAGACACCAGTGTTAGGTAGGGGCGGCCTGGCTACTGTACTGGTTAATCCTACCCGGTTTGGCCTCGGAGGCCGTCAATCAGGATGACGTCACTGCTGATCAGGTTGCTCGGGCTGCGAGAATTTGCTACCTGTGCGATCAGGAAAAGGAAGTCTGGGGAAACTGCCCCTGGCTGCCCTGGACAGGGAGAGCCATGCAGCGCGCAGAGGCCGGAAAGCCTTTAATTAAATTCAACCACTGCAGGAAATGCATCTACAGCTTCAGCGTGCCGAGCTGCTGCCCCCTCTGCCGGCAGGACCTGGGCTCCAGGAAGCTGGAGGAAGCACCTGTCAGCATCTCCAATCCGTTTACCAATGGGCATCAAGAAAAGTGTGCATTCCTCCTCAGGCCAACCGAAGGGACGTTTCTTAGGTACAGTGTTTGTTTTTTTTAAGTGTTGCATTGAATTGTGCCAACTTTCCTTCTGTGTTGTTGTCGTCACTAAAACCTCTTACAGTGAGAGTGAAATGTGGTGGATAATTCTTTCCAGTTTTTTGGCATTTAATTTTAATATGTGGGCCTATTTATTTTAGACGGGGTGCTTACTTTCCTGGAGCGATAAGTGCAAGAATATATGAATGTCAAACCTACTTATACAATTTTAAGAGAGAAAAATCCACAATCTGGAGATTTACTTAGCCATAGATTTTGAGCTAAGAGGCTAATTGGAAAAAATGACCCAGCAGCCAGTCTTACCAAAATATCTCTATTGTGAGGTAGTTTGTAATCTCTCTGATGAACAGGTTCAGTGTACGGAGCCTGAAGACGCTTTTGCATGGAGATGAATTAAATTGGAGACTGGAGCTGGTTTATTTCCATTGCAGGCACCACCTGCCTTTAAGGTTTCAGAAATCAAAAGGAAGGATTGTGCCTCCTGAGAGTCCTTGTGGAGTTTACCAAGGGACAAGCCAGGCTGCAAGAGAGCAGGGGAGCTACCGGAGGGCAGCACATCCGTTAGGAAGCGTGTCCATGCATCCTCCCGATCTAATGCTCCCAACTCGCTCATGCCCTCAGGAGTGCTGGGGAAGAGACATCAGAGTTGACTATTCACTTCCCTGCTCACTAAATTCTTTCATCGATTTCCTACTGTCCCTCTGAGGCTGACATGAATCGAAGTGTGTAAAAGGTGTTGTACCAAACTGTTTTATAAGCAAGCCCCTCATTCATTCATGCTAACTTGAAGTCATTAACTGTTTAGATTCCAAACGTTTTTTAATAAAGTGGTTAAATTTTGGAATTCATTTGCCAAAACACGGTTCATTCAACAAATCCTTACTGAGCAGTTCTGGGTGGGGAACTCTGCCCTCAAATGACACACGACCGGCTTCCTGATTGGCCCCTACTAAGTTTTACTTATTCTGTGATGTGGGGTCATATGACATCCGTGGCTTCCCTGGGCATTGGCAGAATTGAGGTGGCGGTGTTGAAACAAGCCATAGGCTGAGCATTCTCCCAATCCTTTTACCCCTCAGGTCAGGATTTGCAGAGTATTATGTAGCCTCCTGCCTATTACCGTGTTTCCCCGAAAATAAGACATCCTCCGAAAATAAGACCTAGCGCATGGAAAGATAAGACATCCCCTGAAAATAAGACCTAGCGCAACTTTGGGAGCAAAAATTAATATAAGACACTGTCTTATTTTCGGGGAAACAGAGTAAACCCTCTAAAGCTAAATTCCAAACCGTTTCCTTCCTTTACACCCAATTTCCAAACGCTCAGGACTGTCTCCCATCATTTACCTTGAGACAGTTTCACTGACTTCATAAAAGAGAAGCCGGCAGTGACCCAAAGGAATCCCTGAGGCTCTGATCTAGCGAGGCTAGGGTCCCTCAGAGGCCCCGGGCCAAGGTGGCGGCGAGCACAGGAACTCAGCATTCCACTCGCCAAGCCAAGCGGAGCTGCTTCTGCAGGAAGGAGGGGCCCCTTCGTTTGTACAAAGGTGTCCTATAGGAGGGGGGTGGCCTTGCCCCATTATGTGCATCTGCAACATTCTACGTATTATTTCCCTTCACAGCACTTACTATTAGAAACTCGCTCAACTAAAGCTAGAACGTCTTCTCTGGAAGTGAGGGCAGAGACCTGGTTTTATTTTCTGTATGTCACTAGCCCTTCACTTCAAAATATGAGAAATACCTGACTGTACAGACTCATAGTTGACACCCGATAAACATGTGTTGCAAGACTGAGAAATAACTGAAGGAAAGAAGAGCAAGGGAGGACATGCCTGGGACTTAGGCAGAAACCAAGGGCAGTGATGTGCTCAGGGAATGAGCTTGGGGTAGAAAATTTGGTGGGTGCCGCACTGTCCTCAGCCACCCAAGACTATCCCTGCTTTTCTCATTTTCAATTTCATTTCTTTTTTTAAAAAAAATATTTGTATTGATTTCAGAGAGGAAGGGAGAGAGAGAGAGAAACATTAGTAATGAGAGAGAATCATGGATTGGCTGCCTCCTGCACACCCTACACTGGGGATCAAGCCTGTAACCTGGGCATGTGCCCTGACCAGGAATTGAACCGTGACCTCCTGGTTCATAGGTCAACGCTCAACCACTGAGCCATGCCTCGTTTTCAACCTCTGGGACCCCCAGGGTCTCAAAAGAACTCAAAGTGGCTCCAACAAGATGACCCTGAGGAGACTGCTCTAAAGAGAAGGGGCAGCCATGTGGGTCCTTGGTCATTTTAAAACCTGCAACTGCTTACTTTAATGAGGAACCAAATATCCAGACCTGCGGTCTGATAAAGAAGCTTTATCATTTAAAAATAACCTCTATGCGGCAGGCTCTCAACAGATATTTTATTCTTACAGCCAGCTCACTAGGAGGCTTACGATATTCCCAGTTTATAGTTGAGGAAACGAATTAGAGAGAGTAAATGATTTGCCCAATGTCCTAAGGCTAGTTAGTGATGGCCTGGGACTGTATACGAAGGTTAAATTATACGGATTATCCACCTAATGTCCAGCCTCAGGTAAATAGTAATTCCAGGAGCCAAGGGCTGTCCAAGAGAAGCGGTGCGGTCATAGGCCACAAGACCAAATGCGGGAGGCAGACCGCACCGTGTTTGGCTGAGGAACAGGCTGTCACCTCACAGAAAAGGAGGAGAGAATACGGTGCTCCTTCAACAAACTGCCTCTGGGTGGGCTCCTCGGCCACATGCTATGCTGACTTTTTGCTCTAGCACAGCGGTCAGCAAACTCATTAGTCAGCAGAGCCAAATATCAACAGTACGGCGATTGAAATTTCTTTTGAGAGCCACATTTTTTAAACTTAAACTTCCTCTAATGCCACTTCTTCAAAATAGACTCGCCTAGGCTGTGGTATATTCTGTGGAAGAGCCACACTCAAGGGGCCAAAGAGAAGCATGTGGCTCGAGAGCCGCAGTTTGCCGACCACGGCTCTAGCAGAACCGGCCTTCTGGCACACTCATCTTGAGTACTGGGGAAGGGGCAACAAACTAGATGGGGGCAGAGGGAATTTTTAGATCTCATATGTAGAATTGGCCTAACCAGCTTTGACACAGGGCTTTCACTAAGCCCGACACTGTTAGCAATCTGGCACCAGGCAGTCCCGACTCTAAGTACCAACGCTTTGTGCCGGACATATGCAAATTAGGAAAAAATATTTGTTTCTTTCAGGGAGTATGATGGAAGGTCTGATCTTCACGTTGGAATAACTAACACAAATGGTGAGTGCATTTTCATATATATATATATAGCTTGAAAAGCCCCCAAAATATCCAGAGGAGAGTAGTATTTCTAAAGAAAAGTGATGATGTAACATTTAATTAGGAATTCCTCTGGTCCCTGGTTTCTTTTGCTGGACCATGAGGTGAGTGATGCTACTCTCCCCCCAAATGAGAAATACTTGACAGTTTAGCAAAGTATTACCAACAATACTAAATATTTGAAAACAAAGGTCATTAATGTTTTCTCAGCCAAGAGTGACAGAAACCTTTTAGTTTTTTGTTGGTGTTTAAACAAGGAAAAAAAAAAAAACAGAATCCTGGAGAGATTGAGTTGCCCAAGACCTCACTGGGTGTGGGAACCAGAATCCGGACTAAGGCCCTGTGCTCTCCAATCCTCTACTCACTCAGCCCACTGCTACCAGGTCTTCACACTCCAGGGTCTCCAGGAAATAGGCAGAAACCTCTGGATAAGTCAGGGGATATAACGCCTGAGCAGGGGAGCAGGTGGAGCCTGCAGCTGTTTTCTGTAAAAAAAAAAAAAAAAAAAGGCATCAACATGTTTAAATAAAACAGCTCTTTTGGCCAGATTTAGCTCTGAGGGCACAGAGTCTGCAACTCCTGGACCCAGAACATCCTTATCTGCAGGCAAGGGGCCTGGTGAGCCGCTTGCAGGAGTTGCAGGCCTGGGAAGGTGAGCAAGCCAGCCAGGAGAAACTGATACTGTGAACAGAAACCTAGGATTGGGTTTTTGAGCTCAGAGTTACCCATGTGATCAGTAACACTTACCACCAGCCTGATCACTAGAAATTTACTGCTGATTGAAGGAAAGGTAGGCCCATTTGTAAACGGAAGACTTTAACAAAACTATTTGGAGATGATTATCCTGGTGCCTATCATTGTCTCCCGTTTCCTGGGGGTGACTCCGGAGGGCTTAAGAGCAGGTGCAGCAAGAACTGGGTTCCCTGAAGGAACTGCTTTGCAGAAAGTAGGTGAGGCAGGGGCACCATAGCCTCTCCTTAGGTCCAGGCAAGACCTTCCCGAAATCTCCCAGGCGAGTGGCTGCCTCCTGAACTTGATGATCCTGGAGGAAGGAGGTCCCAGAGCCTCTCGGGACCTATTGCCAATGGGCAGGAATCAGAAAGTGCAACCTGGGCTTCCGATATGTGGTGGCTGTGTCATTTTCTGACGTCCCCCCAAGCTCCTGCATGATCCTGGCTTTGGTTGCAGGAGTCGTCTATAATTACACCGTGCACGGCGTCCAGCGAGACGAAGCAGGCTGGGAGCAGAGTGTCAGTATCCCGTTATTGCAGCCCGGCATGTTCGGACTGATGGACCAGTGGGACAAGTACCTGGAAGACTTCTCCACCTCGTGGGCCTGGCTGCCTCACAGGTATGGGGCTGCTGAGACCACCTCCTCCCTGGCCCACATTTGCCACACACATGCCATCAACTCACTGAAGATGCTGAGCAGCATTTAGCAGTAGCACCTGTAACAGAATTTAAGCAGGGGTTTCTTCAGAGGTGAGCCAGCATATCCTATATAATAAAAGCCAAATATGCAAATCGACTGAGCAGGGGTACATCCAGCCACTATAATAAGCACTGACCACCAAGGGGCAGATGCTCAATGCAGGAGCTGCTGCAGGCCCCAGGCCAGCCATGCTGGGTGCCAAGAGGGCCCCCCTGATCACCCTGCTGGTCGCCCCACAAATCGGCCCTGATCGCCAGCCAGGCCTAGGGACCCTACCCATGCACGAATTTCATGCACCTTGACTCTAATATTGCATAATAGAATCAGAGCATTTTAAGAGTTGAAAGGGCCAGAACTTAGAACTCTCATAATTTGAATAGATATTTTTTATGTACTTAACACTTCACAGTAATATGTACAGCAAAAGCCGTGATATTATGTTCCATAAAACAAACAATTTAAATGATATTCAAAATTTATAAATATTTTAAGGTTCTGTTGTTTGGTTTTAGCAATTTTGAAATTTAATTTCTCGATTCCTTGCTCCCTTAACACTTTATAGAATACTGGTCCACTTAAATTGTTTTCAGGCTGCCCTTGAAATGTAGACTATCCTAAATTTTAAGAAATGAAATTCTACTTCTAGAATCTAGAATTGCAGCAAAATTAAGTTCCCCAGGTTGGGGTTTATGTGCACCTTCACTCATCACTCTGAACATTCAGTTAAGTCTCATCTGCACCTTGCGCTGCAATCTGCACTAGCCCAGGCCGGGGCCCGGCTCGCTGACTGAGCCCGGTTTCAGGTATGGAAGGCCCTCAGCAGCTTCCCGTCCTGCTCCCGAGCAGCTTTCAGAGCTAAGCCTTCTCTTCTTCACGTCCTTGTTTTGAAGGTACGAAGAAGAACACCACAACTGCTACAGTTACACCCTCACGTTCATTAACTGCATTCTGGCCACAGAAGGCAAGGAGCAACTGGACAAGGACGAGTTCACGGAGAAGTTTGTGGTCCCCAGGACCAGGAAGGCTTCCAAGTACATCACGCTCTACCGGGCGATAGACGAGCATGGCTTCTACGTGACCGACCGCCCGGACCGGGAGCCGAGTCCTCCTCTGGGGGGTGGTTTGTGCTGAGTGCGCCGTGGAAAAGCGGAAGGGACGGGATCTTTGGGAGTTACTACTTTTAATAGATCATCGAGACTTCTAAATACAGTTACCTGTGGTTAATTAAAAAAATAAAATAAAATAAAAGGTGCCCTGACCGGTTTGGCTCAGTGGATAGAGCATCGGCCTGCAGACAAGGGTTCCAGGTTTGATTCAGGCCAGGGGCATGTACCTTGGTTGGGCACATCCCCAGTCGTGGGGTGTGCAGGAGGCAGCTGATCGATGTTTCTCTCTCTTCGATGTTTCTCACTCTCTATTCCTCTCCCTTCCTCTCTGTAAAAAATCAAATATATATATATATATATATATATATATATATATATATATATATGTATATTAAAGTGATAAGGCTTCCCTTTAAGCATACTTCAGTTTATCGCAGTATAAGAATTTACAAAATTAATAAAAATTGCCCTGGGTTTTCAGTTTTCAAACTGAGAATCCATGTTAAAGCATAAAGTGGCAGCATATTTTATCCCCAGAACAACGAAAACTCTTCCTATAAATTAATTAGAGCTGAATTAACCCATCTTTCCGTGTGAATCCAGAAGGTGGGGTCATTTGTAAGAAGGTGAGGAAGACATCTACCATTTATGAAGCAATGAGTATTTTCACCTCACACAATGGCAAAACCAGGGTTTAAAGATGTTTGACTGCAAAGCCCATGCACTAACTCCTGGGCCACCTGGTGACCTGCAAGAGGCCCGTGGTTCCTGAGATGTGCAGCCACGGGGTGGGCAGTTTTTGCATTAGCGGAGATAAAGGAGAAAATAAGGGTTTTGCTTTCACCAACATTCAAATTCGGAGAGGAAGTAAGTTATATGTCATAAAGCAATTCAGGTAAGGTCAATATTAGGACTGCCAATTTCATGCAACTGTCTCAGTGCTACATCCCTTACTTTCCAAAGCTTCAGCAGTGCCCATCCTGTTTCAGAGGCTGCTCCCCCGCCTGGAGGCGACGCGGGCAGTAGTCGGCCTGTTATTTCTTCAGTTGAGCAGGCTATGAAGTCCCTGCTGGTAATGCCACAGCATCACCCTCCCGTTTCTACCCCTAATAAAGGAAATTAAGCATCTCATAACACCAATAGATGGCAATGTTGCTCTGTTCTTAGAATGACAAGCTGAGAATCTGATGGTTTCTTTATCATACCAGCTGAGTGCTAACTGAAGGGCGAGGAGGTTCTGCACTGGTACTGGCTCTGCTTCCCCGATGAAGTCTCAGCGTTCTCCCTGCCACCTCCCCAGACGCACTTCTTCATCGCAGCCCTTAGCACTGACCACGCGCATGTGGTCTCCCATCAGTGCTTATGGAATGACAGACCACTGGGTTCCTTTTCACAGAGAGGTCAGAGTTTGTCTCAGTGTTACTGATTTGAAAGACTAAAATGACCCACACAAAGGTATTTTTCCAAAGCCTCTACAGCATGCATGGATTACTGTTATAACCAAGAAAACCCAAATAAACGTTACTTTAAAAACCCCACAGAGGCCATATCTAGCTCCCTTAGTTCAGGAAGTGCTTGCTACCTTACCTTCCCCCATCTTCGGAGCTGTCTTCACCTTACCTCAAACTATCTTCCTATCACCTCCTCCATGCGTTACCTACTGGGGCATAAACCAGAGAAATGGGTGTGGTAATGCTTACACTTTTGGCCTTATCTGAAAGGGAAAAAGGTATACCTACCATGTACGATCCTTTCCCGTCATCTCATTTAGTCTGCAAAACAAACTCAGGAGGAATTACTCAGCCTCACTTCACAGCTGAGGAAGCTGAGCCTCAGAGTGACTAGGCGATGTTTCCAAGGTTGACGTGGAGTCTGGACCAAGTGTTCCTGATGCCACTGTTTCCACTCTACCAGAACGTACATTTAAGTCAGGAAGATCTACCTTTGCAATATTGTTTCAGAACATGTACACATTAAAAAAAAAAAAGTAAATGCTTAAAGCTTTTCACTTAAATTGATTGAGTTGCTTTGAAATAAAAAAATATCACCTCTTAGTTTAACCATTTCACAAATGTGTTTTTTCATATCATGTATTTTTTAGTAAGACATCCCTATATTTCACAAAATGATAACAAGACTTAAAATGTTTTCAGCATGTAAATAAAACGCAAAGATTTAAGCTAAATCGATGGGTTTAAATCTCTCAATTTTAGAAACGGGCCTCAGGGTTTTAAATAAGTTAACTTTCATGGGATAATTATTTGAATCTATAATCAGATTTCTAAAAATTCAATTTGGTTGGTAAAATCATAAATGGTAGTTGGGTGGTGGGAGGAGAGGAATTTCATTTCTTTTTACCCTAATTACTCTCCCACAAGGGAAAACTAAGTTAAAAACCACATTCAAGTAAATAATAGCGTTTTTAAAAAAGAGAAAATGAAAATGCTTTAACAGTAAAGGCAAAATAATTAGGAATTAAATTATTCAAAATAATTATGACAAAAACAAAAACTAATCTCAGTAAGTACCAAGGAACTTTCAGACTACTATTCGAGGCTCAAAATCATAGGGAAAACTGACCAACTGCAGCCCGATAAACCTGCCTGAAACTCTGTCCCATTCATGTAGGTTTAATCCGTACCAAGTGTTATGTTTGAACCGGTTACTTTACAGAAGTGAGATTCTTTAGCGAGCACTCAGGGCAGTAAAGGCACAGATGTCATCATTTCCCCTCACGATGTGGGGATGAGGGCAGGAAATGTTAGCCTCCGAAATGGAAGCGAAGAGAATCAACAAACAATAATCAACTGCACAAGCAACTGCCTTAATAGAGGACAATCCCCCCCCCACACACAATGAATCATCACAGCTGCAAAAGACCAACAGTACTGTAGCTGAGCACTGTGTTAATAAGCACTTTATAAGGACCAACCCACACAATCCTCCCGTGATCCTCTGGGGTTGACAGCCTTTTTATTTTTATTTTTATTGAGATGAGATTCGTATTACACCGATTTTAAAGCATAAAAAATCAGGCATTTAGTACAACGTTGTGCAACCTCCTCTATTGAGTTCCAAGTCATCTCATCACCTGAAAGGTGATTCTGTACCAGAAGCTCCTCAGCCCTCTCCCCCCACTGCCCCTGGTCACCACCAAGAAGTTCTCTCTCATTGGATTGACCTGTTTGGGGTATATAGTTGGAATCAAACAATATATAACATTTTGTGTCTGGCTTCTTTCACTTGGCATGTTTTCGGGATTCGTCGCCGTTGTAGCCTGTCAATACTTTTTTGGGGGGGTGGCTCAACAAGAACTTCCTCTGATAGATGAGGAAAACCGAGGTTAAGAGTGTAGGGCCAATAAGAGGCTGAGTTGGGATGCAAACCTGCATCTGACTTCAGAGCAAGTTCATCTTAGCCATCCTGTCCTCCACCCAATGCCCATCAGAGAGACTAAAGAATTGCTGAAATTTAATATCAAGACCAGAGCCTTAATAAATAGTTCAAAAATCCTGAAATCTGTGAGCTATGTGGACTCTAACTTGATGAGGTGGTGCCTGAAGGCAGGGCAGGTCTGTGGTTACAGAACTACATACAGTGCCCCAATACCCCTGGGCTGGTTCAGCACTGCCAAGGGCGACTGTCCGACTCTGGCCACAGAAGGCAGACTCTGAAGAACTCACTCCCAGGACAAACAGCCTTGGCCATAGGAGGGCCTCTACAGAGTCCCCTCACCTCCCCGCTCTCTGTGCACAAACACCGCTTGCATTTGCTTTCCGATGAGCCCAACGTCCACCAACACCTCTGTTCTCAACCCAGACTTAGCTTTGAACATGAGCACTGTGTTTTCTCGGTCTCCTGCCCGTCTGGTGGGTTTGAGCCAATCCTTCTGAGAAGGGAGGGGAAACTCCTTGTGTCAGGTATTTTTTGAGTTCTCCTTTATCCTCAGAGCCACAACGAAGTCAATATGTTAATTGGCCCCATTTTAGAGGCATGAAAAGTGAAACTCAGAAAGGGCAAGTAAGTTGCCCCAGGTCACGTAACCACTGAGGCAGAGCTGAGATCGAGATGGGTCCTTTCTACGAGGCTCATTTCACTGCCAAGCTTTCAATCAAACCATCCCCAGGGCAACGAATTAAAAGCCAAGAAGCACATACTGCTCCCACCTTGGACCCACAGGTGGTCCTTACAGATTCTGTGAACGTCCTGAAGATGGATACAGATTACATGCAGGAGCAGGTCCCTGGTGAGAGGGCTCTCAGGCTGCACCCCAACCTTTGAGGTAGGGGAACCACCACCCAGCGGTGCCAGCACACACCCAGCCCTGTGTGGAGGGCATTCTTCCTTTTTAACCTCCGACCGCACAAGCCCCATTTCTGATTTCACAGGATTTTCCAGGCTGGCGTCCCTTCAGTGGTGGGGATGGCGTGAAGGCATTGCATGCAGGCGCTCTCAGGTCACGTCCTCCACTTGCACTCCTGACAGTGGCCACACCTCCGAGCCCCACACCTTCCTGCGGAGGGCCCACCATCTGAACTCAAATGGCGTCTGCTCTATCTCAATTCCCACTACCTGAATATTTACTGGAACAATTTGCAAAAAACTGTATTAGTTATCCAAATGTATTATAAACAACACATGAAATAGATGAGTTTGCAGCAGAATCATTCAAGTTGTGTCTGGACTAGAAAGAGGACACAGCATGCCTTAGGTGACCGGTGCTTGCACTGTTTGGACGCCTGGTCTATCATCCCATCACTTCCCCGGCCTTAAGGAAAAATGTCTCCTTCAGAAGTGGAAAAGCCTGTGAAGAAAGTGAGTTTTAGAGGCTGAGGAAGTAACGCTGCATTAAAAAAAATAGTTGGAAGTGATAGTGTATTTTAAAAAAGTGAATCATATGAAGTATGATTTTTATATATATGTATGATAGAATCTTGAACAAGCAGGTGTCCACTTTTTTGTATGATTGTTTGCGGTAGGTTAACAAAATGTAACTCGTGAAAAATGCCGGTTGCACCGTTTCGCAGTGTTGACTGTGGGGTGCTATTCTCAGTGAAATTCTTGAGCACTTGGTCAGCCTGATGCCACCTGGATAGAATACATGCTGGCACATGGAGCGGCTTTGATCACCTCAGGAGAATGGGAAAGTGATGGAGGAGAGGGTTGGGTGAAGAATTTCAGTTTTAAAGCAAGTCTCAGAGGTTCGAGAGGTTTAAGAACCACACAAGCCTGGAGCTTTGAGGGGTGTGGGCGAAGCAACTTCTGCTCTCAGTGAGGCTGCGGCATCTCCTGGGGAACTGCAGATCTCCTGACGGTGGCTTTATTGCAGTCAATTTCCGATCTTGAGGAACTTGAGCTTATTTTTGAAAACAAATGCCATCTGATACATTTATTTCAGAAGGTAAGAAGAAAGTGCTAGGACTTAATACTTCCAAAGAAAAGCTATTACTGCTTTTATTTTTAGTTATTTGTTGTTAATCCTCACCTGCGGACATTTTTTAAAATTGATTTTTAGAGAGAGTGGTGGGGAGAGGAGGAGAGAACATTGATGTGAGAGAGACACATGGATAGGTTGCCTCCCACAAGCATCCCGACCTGGGGCTGGGGGCCAGGGATAGAACCTGCAACCAAGGTACATGATCTTGACCAGGAATCAAACCTGAGACCCTTCAGTCTGTGGGCTGATACTCTCACCACTTTGCTAAACTGGCCAGGGATAGCTAATACTTTTACCTGGAAACTGTGAGGGTGATTTAAACTAAAACCTTTGCTGGTGTACCATTCCAGAAACCCCAGGGCCCTCAGGTAAACACTGAGGAGTGCACGGCCTGCTACATCGTGTTCAAATCTACATATAAAGAAGGAAAATGCTCTGTACAGGCTTCTTTGACTACAGACGATGCTTTGGACATTCTCCTGGAGCGTCCAGCTACAAATATCCGTGCTGTCTTTGGCTTTTCCACATCTTTACTGTCGCCGTTATACCAAGGAGTCGCCACAACCTTCAATGCACATCAGCTGATGACAAAGCATCCGAGTGCTGACAGGAGGACTGTACTCTGATGAAGGATTCCTGGAAGAGGTTTTACCATAAAGGCATCTGGTGCACTGATTAGACTTGGAAAGAAGCGTCACTACAAATGATAAATGAAATAGGGAAGAAATGCCTCCCGAAATTCTTTGCCAGCATTAAAGGTTTTGAGAAAGTGATGATTCAAAGCAAAGTCTTTCATTTTGCTCAGGAGCCTGGAGTAAGCAAAGTGAACAGTAAAAATGCTGAAGAACTTTATGAGTATCACCAATGAAGAGCAAAGAACTTACTAAGAAGCTCTTTCAAATGGATGGTCGTTACTGGTCTGAGGCAGGGGAGCTCCATTATTTGAATGCCAAACCTTTAAAAACCACCGCAGGCAGACTCTTAGGCTGTCAGGATCTCTAAGGTCCTGCATCAAAGGATGCAAACAAGTGTTCATTCTGTGTTTTTTTGTTTTTGTCTCAGCTTCCAAAGATGGATCTGACCCATCTACTCTGGAGCATTCAGTGCCGAGGAGGGGCTGTCCGCCAGCTTCTCGAATCTGGACAGTGGACGAGCCTCAGACCATTGTTTCCTCTCTCCTACGCTGGCTTCCTCTTACTCAGTCTCCCCATCTCCATGCCCTCTGCCCACTTCCCCCCTCTAAGCCTCCAAATGCCACTCCTCAGGCGAGTCTTCCTTGGGATCCAACCAATTAAAGAAAGGCTTTGTTTACTGTGTTTACTAAATGTCAACTGCACTCGTTTTGTATCTTCCTTCACACATTATTTCACCACCTATTTTTATCTCAAAGAAGTTAACTGAAGCAAGGTGCACCTTTTATCTAAGACTGCAAAATATTGTGTATTCTACACAAACATGCCTACCAATTAGTAAACTGACAAATAATTAGGTAATTGATGTTTTTGTTTTGTTTTGTTTTTTAAATATATTTTATTGATTTTGTACAGAGAGGAAGGGAGAGAGATAAAGAGTTAGAAACATCGATGAGAGATAGACATCGATCAGCTGCCTCTTGCACACCCCCTACTGGGGATATGCCCGCAACCAAGGTACATGCCCTTGACCGGAATCAAACCCGGGTCCCTTCAGTCCCCAAGCCGACGCTCTATCCATTGAGCCAAACCGGTCTTGAGGGTAATTGATGTTTTAAATGCTTTCTCTGATACAAAAATCCTTGCTAACTATTAAATGGACTGTTATGTGCTTCAGTAATTGGTTGAAGCTCTTGGACATGTAACTTTTTCCATTTAGAGTAATGGGACATGCTGTCCTGCAGCCCCCAGATCTGCCTTCCGGCACTCTTTCGGGAACGCACTGGATGTGGTAACGAGATGCTTACGCGTGAAGTGCTGCTGTGGGACCTGTCGAGTGCCACCGCATGAAACTGTCAACAGGTAGAGGTTCGATTAGGGTAAAACAGAGGCTCCCCGTTGCAGACTCATCTGTCCACGCTCCTCACTGAGCAGATGAGGATGCAGAGCGGGGCCTGGGGGCGAGGAGCGGGGGCAGCCACGGTCGGTGCCCGCCGAGGACAGAGCGGACGTCCGGGCACCGGGCTCTCTTCTTCTCCCGGTGCAATTTCTTTTTAAGACACGAATAGTTCTCTGGTGTGGGGAGCACCATGCCCTTTAAAAACCTTCCATTAACGGCCAATTACACTACAAGGACCCTTTACCTCGCCCTGAGCGTGGCTTATTGTAGGAGACTCAATAAATATTTTTTGGTGAAATCAGAATTCTGAGGTCAAGTGTTAGAGTTCATCTTGGTCACTCCTCTCTCGTGAAGAAACCCAGCGGCTCAGAATCACTTCCTGTAACCAATAAAAACAAAAAAGGCCAATAACACTTAAAAACAGGAATGAAAGAACATGCCAGGCATGTGACATTACAGCTACTTTTCACAAAAAGCTATCTACATTATGAGGATATCTGTTCCCATTTCTTGTAACCGGACATTCGGAGGAAAGTGAATGCAGCGATATAAACCTTACATGCAAGTATTATCTACCGAACTGTGAAAAGATTTGAGAGCTAAACTTGCCTCAGCTGTGGGATTCTACTAGCACCTTCCAGGATTAGAAGTGCCAGTACAAAAGTTCATGTTTAACATCGGAACCAAGTCTACGATGGCACCAGGTCCGCACTGAGGACAGACGGGGATCTGGGCTGGCATTTTATGAAAGGTTAACCTAGTGGGGATGGCAGGACAAACTGAAGGGATGAGAGGCGGGGGTCCTGGAGCAGGTCTGCAGAGGGACGGAGCAGTGAGACCAACAGGAAGGGCACAAGGTTAGAGAAAAACCATGAAGTGCTGGACGCGGAGGAGGGCCAAAGACAGGGCGAGAGATGGCGATATTAAACACTAGATGATGGAACAATGAACGTGGCAGCCCTGGCAGAGAAAATCCTGTCAGGAAGACCGGGGGAGACTCAGATCAACACAGAACCCCAGAAGCCAGCCGAGAAGTTCAAGGAAGGAATGTCAACAGTGCCACCTCTAGCCTCTGAGAATGAGACTGAGGAGAGGCCTGGCCTGGCCAGAGGGTCCCAGGCTGTTCAGCTGGGTGAGGACAGAAACCAGATCACATCGCAGGAATGGGAACAGCAGGAATTAGGAGCGAGTGAGAGTGGGTTTAGCAGGGAAGGTCCTAGAAGACTTTATTTCCAAGGCAAGATGGACTTGTTTGATTTCTTGGGAGCACATGTTCAAGAGGACACGAGGCAATGGACAGAATCTTTGGGACGATCTGAGTGACCTAAAGTTACACACCTGAACTTTAATTCTCTTCATGCATTCTGGGGATTCCATTTCTTTGTCAGTCATGGTAGAGGGTTTAATCAGATAGCACAGCATGAGTTCCTATTGAGAAATAAAGACAATATCCATATCCCACAAAATCACAATTCAAATCTGAGTGGGCCAGCAGGGCACGCAGTCTCCATTCCCAGCAGTGTCCTCCCGGGAGCATCACAGCTGGGCTCAGCCTCTAGACTAAGGACCTGCCATCAGACATTGGTCACATGTCAGGAGAATGCAAATAAAGTAGATATATTGGTTATAAACACAAAATTTAATATATTAAACGTTTGCTCAAAAGTGGGCATAATAACATTAAAAACAGTATAGACTCCCATATTCCTATGGGACAAAGTTCCTTTTCCTAGCCTACAGCCTAAGCAACCTCCCTGGCATTGAAGACAGTTGTCACCTGGCCCTTCCGGACTCGCCAGTCTCAGCTCTCACACCAGCAGCAGGGGCACAGGTGAGAGGGGGCCCACGATTTGTTTCAGTTAGCAAACTCCTGAATCACAGAGAACACAGAGCTCCCCCCCTGCACAGTCCTGGTGACTTCCTTCCTATCTTGATGGCAGCAGGAAACAGAACACAGCCGGGCAGTCAGCCGGCTCTCAGTTCGAATCCCACTTCTGCATTTGAGCTGCATGATCATGGATTTCTCACTCAATGTCTCTGACACTTTGATTCCTCACTTTTAGGATGAGGATAAGAAATGGTGGTGAGAAACATGTAAAGTGTTTAGCAATCAATATTAATTCCCTCCCTGCCTTTTCAAGAGATCTGCGAACTTTCAAAAGAAACGTGTCAATGTGTGGACTCCTTTGTGAATGTGTGGGTGACTTTTGAGCGTGTGCTGGCTCACCAGAGGCACCCAAGAGAAGAAAGGCAATGCCCACCAACATCAATCACTGCGGGGAACTTCAAAGTTCAATTCCTGGAGCTTACACCCAGGTGGTGGTGGGAGGGACATAAGGGGGAGGAGAGCTTCTAGCCCAATCTTCCAGAACGTCACTGGGAGAAACACTTTGAAGTTTCTCCAAATGCCTTTTTCTATTTCTACTTCATTTAAGAAGAAGAAAAAAATCCAACCATTTCAGTGACAGATAATGCCAGGGCTGATGTTGTTACCTTGGAGACATTCACTGACACTCTGCTCAACGTAGCCAGTGACTTCCAACTGAAAGGTCTTCGAAGAGAGCCCTCAAAACGGTCATCGACTAACTCAACAATGACAGAGTAACTGGAAAACACACAGAGGGAGTTTTAAAAGTAAAACATATGAAATCAATCCATTTAAAAAGTATTGTTTTTCCTATCAAGAACAAAGCTACAAAAAAAATGTACATCATCTGATCCTAAATTTCCCTAGACCGCTGAGAAAATATTAATGAAAAACTCACACTTCACATAGAATTTTAGACTGATTTCAACACATATAGAAAAAGAACAGAAATATTTCTCCCAATATGAAAAGTGAAGATTCACTCAATGGTTTGGATACTAATACTCACAGATATTAAGATGAACTGTTTCTACATAGATTAACTCAATGTTTAATACTAAAAGACAGATTATCATAACCATTTATTGTTTTATATATAGTGTAACACTGTTGGTGTAGAAGGCACAGACACATAGTATTTATCCTTATCAGGCCAACTGGAACATGACTGATTCTGTGGTACTAGAAATTAAAGTGGCCAAAAATATCACGTCCTTTTAAGTCTTTGACATTTAAAAATAATTCCAGCCTGGACGTGTGGCTCAGTGGTTGAGCATCAACCTATGAAATAGGAGGTCATGGTTCCATTCCTGATGAGGTCACATGCCCAGGTTGCGGGCTCGATCCCCTGTGTGAGGCATGCAGGAGGCACCCGACCAGTGATTCTCTCACATCATTGATGTTTCTCTCTCTTTCTTTTCCTCTCTTAAATCAGAAAGAAAACTATTTTTTTAAAAAATCACTCCAAACCTTGCATGGTAAAATGGAGGTCCTTTTCGATACAGCACTGCAAAGAAAAAGAAAGAAAATGTATAAGCATATGAAATAAAAATCTTATTACTTAAGTTTTTTTCCTGCTCCACAGAGATACAAACACCCAATTATCTGTATGTGGGTAATCTGCAATATGCCCTGTAGTCTATTTTTAAAACCCAAACTGTTATTCCCCCTGGAACGAAATGCAATTAGTAAAGCAAATCTGTTGCCCAGGCCCTAACACCCTCCTCCCATCCCCACCCCACAAATGAATTCTGGAGTCAAGTAAAAGTGATTCTTATCTTGCTGCTTGTTTTATACTCTCTGGAGTGAGTGCTTGAAAGTGTATTAAAAATGTGAAATTTGTATAAAGTAGATAAACATTTTTATTCCTTAAAAATTTTATTGATTTCAGAGAAAGGGAGAGAAACATCAATGATGAGAATCATTGATCAGCTGTCTCCTGCATGCTGCTAGTGAGGACTGAGCCCAAACCTTGGGCATGTGCCCTGACCGGGAATTGAACCCCGGCCTCCTGGTTCATGGGTCGATGCTCAACTACTGAGCTACACAGACCAGGTGTGGATGCACATTTTGTTATTCATATCAAATCAATGTAATGCAAAATGTCTGAGTTAATCTGGCCAGGTGCTGACTTAGGTATTGGTGCTAGATATGAACAAGGCTTGTGCCTATTTTTAAGAAATTCAAAGACAAGTAGGGAAAAGAAATCACAAAACCATACACAACACTCAGAGATCAGTCTGCCGTACCACAGTAGTGCCTCCTCCCATGCATGAAGGACATGTTCCAAGATGCCAGTGGATGTCTGAAACTGGACAGCACCCAGCCCCTATATATGTGTTTTTTCTTATACATACATACCTGCATTCAAGTTTAATGTACAAATTAGGCACAAAGATTAACGACTGCAATTAATAATAAAATAGACCCTTTATAATGGCTTTGGGCCATAATTAAGGTAAAATAAGTGTTACTTGAACACAAGCACTGTGATACCCCAACGGCTGATCTGACAGCTACTAAGTGACTAATGGGTGGGTATCATCTACAGCGTAGAGACGTGCAGACATGGAGACGCTGGACAAAGGGATGATTCATGTCTTGGGCGGGATGGAGGGGGACAGTAAGAGACTTCATCATGCTACTCAGAAGGATGCACAATTTAAAACTTATAAATTGTTTATTTCTAGAACTTTCCATTTAATATTTTCAGACTGACGCTGACCACATGTAACTGTAATTGAGAAAAGTGAGAGGTGGGACAACAGGGGACTACTGGTGACTCAGTCTGTGGAGGCCAGGAGCTGCTGCTGAAAGCATGGGGCCGGGGACTCTGCCACGAGGTCCTGGGGGCCCTTTGGAGGCAGGCGAACACCACCCCTCACAGGAGCAGAAAGACTGAATCAGACGAGAGCAGAAACGCACCGGGGTGGGGGTGGGGGTGGCGGGGGCAATGGTGAGACATGTACACAGATAATAATAAAAAAAAAAAAAATAAGGGGGGAAAAAAAAAGAAAAGCACCAAGGAAAGCCTTGGTCAAAGGAGCCAGCACCACGGGAGCTTTTGGGTGGGAAACCAGAGAGGGCCCCCCCCCGCCCCCGGCTTCCCATCTCCCTTTCAGCACTGGGTGACCAAGGTCAACTAGCTCTGCAGCTGCACTTGATTTGAGACCCCTATCACTGGTTCCAAACACTGCTCCTGGAATGAAGCTTGATTGACAAGATTTATTCAAGGAAGAGTTTCCCTGATAAGATGGGAATTTCTTAACGGCCCTTTGTCATGAGTCATTAGCTCTGTAAGCAGAAACAACTGCTAAAAGAATGTCCTGCAGTGAATCGGGGATGGCAGTTCTGAGGTGCATGTGCTTAGGTCCCCAGCCTTCAAAACTAAACAATATGGTTAAAAACCAGGCACGAGCAGCTGTGCCTGGAGAAGGGCACCGTTCAGGAAGCGCCAGCACCGCTGGTGAACGCCGGCGGAGGCAGGCACTGGGAGGACACCCCTTCGTGTGGCCGCTGGGCCACAGGCCTGGTCTCACATTAATTACACAGGCAGCTCCAAGTGCATGATGGGCCCCAGCTGTGGCGAGGCCTCCGGGGAGTTGGGAAAGAGCAGTTGATTGATTTCTTTTCTTTTTTCTTTTAGGAAATCTGCCTGCTTGTCTGTTCTTTCACTCATCCTTATAAGGCAGTTTATTTTTAAATTAGGAAAGGTCTTGCCCGGCGGGTGTGGCCCAGTGGTTGTGTGGACCAATGAACCAAGAGGTCAAGGTTTGATCCCAGGACAGGGCACAAGCCTAGATTTCAAGCCTGATCCCCAGTAGGGGGCATGCAGGAGACAGCCAATCAATGATTCTCTCTTATCACTGATGTTTCTATCTCTCCCTCTCTCTCCCTCTCTCTGAAAAAAAAAAAAAAAAAAAAAGGTTTTTTATAAAAAGCAGGCATTGTTACCCATGTTATATGAAGAGCAAACGAAAGCTTAGAGCGATGAAGAAACTTGCGTAGGGCCAGCTGTGACCCCAAAGAGTGCTCTTTCCATCACTCCATGCCACCTCTTTAAAAAAAAAAAAAAAATATTCTATTGATTTTTTACAGAGAAGAAGGGAGAGAGAGAGAGAACTAGAAACATCGATGAGAGAGAAACATCGACCAGCTGCCTCTTGCACACCCCCTACTGGGGATGTGTCCGCAACTAAGGTACATGCCCTTGACCAGAATCGAACCCGGGACCCTTCAGTCCGCAGACCGACGCTCTACCACTGAGCCAAACCGGTTTCGGCCCCATGCCACCTCTTAATGCTTATCTGTTGGAAAATTCTACTCAAATTTCACCCCAAAATTAAGAAAGTTGGAGAAGAGCTGCCAAGCATTTGCACTGAGAGGCTATTCTTTTGTTCTTGTCTTTAATCCTAGGATGTGTTTTTATTGATTGAAGAGAGAGAGGAAGGAAGAGGTGGAGAAAGAAAAACATCGATATGAGAGAGAAACTTGGATCAGTTGCCTCCTGTACCCATCTGACCAGGGATCTACCTTGTGACCTTTCAGTGTACGGGACGATGCTCCAATCAACTGAGCCACACCGGCAGGGCCTGAGCGGCTACTCTTACAGGAGCATGACAAGGAGAACCGGGCAGGAAGCCAATGAAGAAAAATGAAACAGGCACATCACTTATTTAAGCAGCGTGACCTGTAGCCAACACAATTATCTGGAAACATAGCAAGCTAATCCTGAACATTTGTGTGGTGACTCTGAGTTAGGATATCTGCATCTAAAATCCAGGCATGGAAGAAACAAAATAAACCACTTATCTTAGCGATACGGGATTTTGAGTAAAATTTCAGGAGGTACCTTCCAGCCCCTGAAGACCATTCTCTGAGTCTAAAGCACACTCAACTTTAGAGCACTTAAATATTTCAGAGACTCAACTGGCTTTCTTTGTGTACTTAAAAGGCTCAAAGGCATATGGAACAAGTATGTGACAGAGCTCAAAAGACTTCAAGGGCCAGGACTTCTTAGAAGACCTTTCAAACATCTGGCCTGTCTTTCCAATATCTAAAGGGGGCTTACTTAATGTGTCTAAAACATTAAGCCAAATACCTATGCGTTATCCCTGATTCCTCTCTTACCCACAAATCTCACATCCATTCCATCTGCAGGGCAGGCTGGGCTCAGCTTCCCTAACCAAGACACTCTGTTCCCATTTTTGCTCTCCTGCAGTCTTTTGATAAGAGACAAGATAGAGGATCCTGTCATATGAAGTCATTAAATTTAAGTCACTCGCTTGCTCTAAGTCTCCCAAGACGTCCAATCAGCAGAGTAACATCCAAAGTCTGTGCCCGGCCCTATGTGAGCCGGCCCCGGCCTAACACTCACTCTCCTCTGGGCCTCTAAGTCCTAGACACAGTCTTCCTGAGGCCTGCCACGCTGTTCCTGCCCCCGGGCCTTCTCACTTACCGTTCACTTCACCTAGCATGTTCTTCCCCAAATTCCCAAGGGAACGGCTCTCACTGTGGTCACATGTTTTCAGTGCTTTCCTGACCACCTTTACCAGCGTCCTTTACTCTGCTCTATTGAATTACAACCTGCAAATGGATTATGTCTCTTTGCTTGTTTGTCTCCCCCGCCAAAAAGTTGTTCCATCAAGGCAGCTCTGTGCCTGTCTTGTTCACTTCTGTATTCCTGGCCCACAGACCTTCAGCAATTAATTCTCTGTCGAATGAAGTGCTTACATGGCTCAGACTCCTCACTTCAAGTAAAGATCAGTGGAGGAAGAACTAAGTAGAAGTTTCTCAGAGTCTGGGCTCCAACACTGAAAGTCCAGCTCTATAAGTTACTGGCCCTGAAAAATGTTAGGGGCAAATGACCCATGCTCCCAATACTGCAGTCTCCTTCTCAGAAAAATGAGGTTAACAAGTATCCATTGCCCAGGATTGCTATAAGCATCAAATGAGCTAATGAAAGTAAAACACTTCGTACAATGCTTGGCACGTATGAAATGATTAATAAATGAGAGCTGTAGTTATTAACTAGAGGCCTGGTGCATGAAATTCATGCAGTGGGGGAGCATGTCCCCTCAGCCCAGGCTGCACCCTCTCCAATCTGGGACCTCTTGGGGATGTCTGACTGCCAGTTTAGGGGATGTCTGTTTGCCGGCATTGGGCCTAAACCGGCAGTCAGACATCCCCCTCACAATCCTGGACCACTAGCTCCTAATCATTCACTTGCCTGCCTGGTCACCCTAACTGCCTTCCCTCCCCTGCTGGCCTGGTCACCCCCAACTGCCCCACCCCCCTGCCAGCCTAGTCACCCCATGCAGCCTGCTGTTCAGTTGTTCGGTCATCCCTCATTAATGCCCCTGTCGGCCTGGTTGTAGGCAGCCATCTTGTGAGTGTGTGAGGGTCAATTTGCATATCACCTCTTTATTATATAGGTGGATGATTATTCTCATTTGCCAGATGAGGCAACTGTGGCCCAGAGGACAAGGGACTGCCCTATATAACACGACCACATGGCTAATGAGAGGTGAGGGTCGGGATATGGGGGTGCTGTAGATTACAGTGCGGACAGGAGGAGGAACCTGACTTGGGTCTGCAAGCTTCTACTCCTGGGCTTTTCTCCTAGATTGCCCTTTCACTCACTCTGGATATACCCTAAACCCAATCCAAACGTCCAATATTCTTATTTAAGCCAGAAGGAAGAACCTCGTAGGAAAGATTAGCAACAGCACATATAACCAAATCTGATTTTCATCCTAGGATCTGATGCAAACCTGGTTCTCACACTTAACAAGTCACAAATTACTTACGTAAATCTGTTCCGTACTTAAGTCCCACTTTGGGCACCCAGCCCTTGCTTCGGAAGTAATGGTATGCCATATAGGTAGTCCTGAATGTGGGCTGAACTACTGTGAAAACTTTCCAGAGTTTCAGAATTGTTAAAGGCTCCTAAAGTTATTGAACAAAAATAGGCATTATTATGTATGTACTCACTCATCACTCATCCAGTGAATCAACGTCTGTAAGTGTGAAGCTGGAGCAGTGAATAAAACAAACATGTTACCACCCTGACCAATGTTGCCAAATGGTTAGAGCATCAGCCCGAACATCAAAGGGTCAAGGTTCAATTCCCAGTCAAGGGCACATACCTAGGTTGTGGGTTCATTCCCCGTCCCAGGTGGGGTGCATATGAGAGGCAACCAATCGATGCGCCTCTCTCACATCGATGTCTCTCTCTCTCCCCCTCCTTCTACCACTCTCACTAAAAACCAATGGGAAAAAATAATTCTTTTGAGGATTAACAACAACAAACATGGTACCCAGAACAGAGGGACTTAACTAGAAGAGCTAGACATGTGCTGTCCAATGAAGTACCGAAATGAGATGTGCTGCAAATGTAAAATACACACAAAATTTAAAAAGCTTAGCATAAAAACAACTATCTCCATAATTTTGGACATGTTGCATAACACAAACTATATATTATAAGTTAATTTCACCTTAAAAAGACTGTTTAATGTGGCTACGTAAAATGTTAGATTATACACGGGGCTCCTGTCTGAACAAGTCCACAGGGCAGCATGTTCCAAAAGACCCTAAAGAGCAGCTACTACTAGTACCGTGTTTCCCCCAAAATAAGACATCCTCCGAAAATAAGACCTAGCGCATGGAAAGATAAGACATCCCCTGAAAATAAGACCTAGCGCAACTTTGGGAGAAAAAATTAATATAAGACACTGTCTTATTTTCGGGGAAACAGGGTATATGTTAGGCCATGCTCAGAAAAGACACATAATTTTGTAAAAGCTTTAAAAGAATGCTCCATTTAGTTTTTGAAACTAGAGAATTTGTTATCTGATAGCACAAATTAATAATCCACTGCTTATAAGAGGCCTTTGTTTCTACTGTAGGACTTGAAGAGAATGAGAATGTTCGGTTCAGAGAACAAACATTCTGATGTATCAATACCAAAAAAATTAAAATTAAAATTAAAAAAAATACAACAATGAAAACCAGATAAGTTGGGGAAGTTTTCTGCTTCATTTCAGTGCTCAGTAAAATGGTCAATTCTTCAGTTGGTTTAAGGTTCAGTCACTCGAAAAGATTTGCTCAGTTGGCTCAGAGGAAGATTTTAATGCCATAAGTATGAGTTAGAGTTGTGGTTTTCCTTCTATTTTTTTGGAGTTATTCCTAAGGTGGAAGCTCCATATGTGTGTGGCCTTCAAATCCCACTGCGAGCAAACACTCGACCCCTCCTCTGAGAAGCAAGTCTTGTAGAGAGAAGGCTGGCTGAGCTTCCAATTGGATGGCCCACCATGTTTCAGATGCTGAATGTTCTGACAAATTTCAGCTGAAGCCAAAGGAGAGGAGGCAGGGTGGGCTAGGAATGGCCACCATCTGGGAAAATGAGTCACCCATCAGCCAGGCACCCATTTTCAAACCCATGGAATACTTGTGAAAAAGATTTATATAATTAGAATCTGATGAGTGATAAAATTATGTACTTCCAAGAACAGAACGAAATATGCTTTCTCTAGTCTATTTACTGCTCTGCTTACATTTTTCTTTTTAATTTAAATTTCATTTGAATCAGTTTTTGAATATGTATCAGAATCACATGGTTCAGAATTCAAAAAGTACAAAAAGTGACTGGTGGAGCCCTGGCCAGGGTGGCTCAGTTGGCTGGGTGTTGTCCCGTGCACCGAAAGGTTGACGGTTCGCTTCCCATTCAGAGCACATGCCTGGGTTGCAGGCTTGATCCCCGGTAGGAAGCATGAAGGTGGCGGCTGACTGATGTTTCCTCTGACATCAATGTTTCTCTCTATCTTCTCCCTCCTCTCTCTATAAAAATCAATAAAAATCTATTCTTAAGAAAAAAAAATGTACAGGAGAAAGTCTGCTCCCAGATGTGTACTCAGCCCTCCACTTCCTTTACGAGAAGGCAAGCAAAGGTATCAACTGCTTTTGAAATGACCTTTTTCCCAAGAGAAGCAGCTGCTGTGCAAAATCATGTTCTTTGGAGGTAATTTCTCTGAGCTTCAGTCACTTTATCTATAAAATTCTCACCAGATGGGAGGATTAGAAATATTGTATGTAAAACACCTAGTACACAGTCTGAAGTAGTGTTAAACACTGGTAGCTTTTACTGTTGTTGTTAATTTTGTAGTACTGTCCTGACATAGATTTCCTGGTCATTATGTAAGACATTGCTTTTCTCCTAATCTCTGGGAATAAAATTCAACCTAAAAGGGTCAAAGCTGGCTTTTGCCTGAACAGTTCCAAATCAGGACCCAAAGCTGATTCAAAAAGAAGTCACTTCCTATTTTATTTAGGGAAGCAGTTGAAATCACTACAGCCTACTTTTGATATCAGCAAAGTTTAACGTGGATTACATATACATAAACAACTTACCTTTTCATAGTAAATACTTAGACATCCCAGAGCATAGACCAGGAAGAAGGCCTAAAACAGAGCAAGCAGAAAATGCTCATTAAAAACCACACACAAACTGCTGAAAAATTATGTTACACATTGACTTGTTTTCACCTCAAATACAAATTAATGTTCTTGAATATTCATCAAAAACGGTCACATATTTTTAACAGAAATGGATCATATAATCTTCAAAGATTAAAAAAAACCTAAGAAAATATGAATGTCCCAAATTGGTTTAAAATAAGTGAAAAACACCCATTCTTGCCACCTTTACTCAAAAAGTACTAGAAGTCCTAGCCAGAGCAAACAGGCAAAAAAAAAAAAAAAAAAAAAAAAAAAAAGAATAAAAGGCACCTACAGTGGGAAAGAAGGTGCCTATATACAGATGACATGTTCTATTGTAATACATAGAAAACTCTAAAGAATCCACCAAAAAACTATTAAAACTAATAAATTGAGCAAAATTGTAAGATATAAAATACATAGAAAGAAATCAATTGAGTTTCTATCCTATACAATAAAAGCCTAGGTACCGTCATGCCCTTGTGCGACAACCTCGGGCAACATTGTTACAATGTAGCCACCACAAGATGCCTGTCATCATGTTGTCACAAGATGGCCACCACAAGATGGCCGGCAGGGGAGGGCAGTTGTGGGTGATCAGGCCGGCAGGGGAAGGCAGTTGTGGGTGACCAGGCCGGCAGGGAAGGCAGTTGGGGGCCACTGGGACAGCAAGGGAGGGCAGTTGGGAGCGACCAGGCCTGCAGGGGAGGGCAGTTGGGGGGGCCATCAGGAGGGTAGGAGAGGGCAGTTGGGGGCAACAGGGCTTGTGGAGAAGGCAGTTGGAGATGATTGGGCTGGCAGGGGAGGGCAGTTGGGGGCGATCAGGTTGGCAGGGGAGCAGTTAGGGGGTGATCAGGTTGGCAGGCAGACGTGGTTAGGGGCAATTAGGCAGGCAGGCGGGTGGTTAGGAGCCAGCAGTCCCAGATTGTAGAGGGATCGGGCCTAAACTGGCAGTTGGACATCTCCACAGGAGCTAGAGCCATCTTCTCAAAACATGAAGACTGGCCGGCCAGCATGGCTCAGTGGCTGAGCAGTGACCTATGAATTGGGAGATTACGGCTTGATTCCCAGTCGAGGCACATGCCTGGGTTTCGGGCTCAAGCCCCCAATGGGGCGTGCAGGAAGCAGCCAATCAATGATTTTTTTTCCTGATCACTGATGTTTCTACCTCTCTCTCCCTTTCCCTTCCTTAAAAAACAAACAAACAAACAAAAACAAAACAAAAAACGCGAAGATGTGGCCCTTGTGACTAAAACCCTCCAAAGGGTTTTATTGCATTCTTTTGTTTGTTAATCCTCACCCTATGATATTTTTCCCATTAATTTTTTAGAGAGTGGAAGGGGGAGAGGGAGGAAAAGGAGAGAGAGGGAGAGACATTGATGTGAGAAAGATACATCAATCTTGCACATGCCTCAACTGGGGCTCAGAACAAACCTGCAACCGAGTACGTGCATGCTCTTGACTGACCGCAACTGAACCTGCGGGGCGCTCTTACCACTGAGCAACATCAGCCAGGGCCTTTCCTGAATTCCTGCTTTCCACCGTCTGCAGCAGCTCAATGTCTGATCACCAGTCTCTCTAGCCTTCGTGGCTTCACTTGTCCCTTAAGCACATTAAGCTCATTTTTGCCTCTGTAATTGCTTTTCCCACATCTGGCATAATCTGCCCCAGACTCAGAGGTCGCTTCTCAGAGGTCTTCCCCAGCCCCATATTGACTGTCATCTTCAAAAGAGCATTTATTTTTGTCTGAAAATATCCTTCTTATGTGTGTCTCTACAAACAGAATGCAAATTCTGTGAGAGCAGAACGGTCTACGGGTGCTCAATGTGTGTGCTGGGAGAATACAGAAACAGGTCCTGGATCCTGTGCGTGGTTTAGGCCTAGAGCCCCCGGAGCAGGCCAGGCCCTCAGCTCCCTTCTCCAGTGTGCTCAGTGTGATCACCAGGTTTGGTTCTCCTTTCAGCTTCTGGGGACAGCCTTCCCAGGTGTCCTCAATCTCACTTTGACCTTTTCCCTTCCCATGGCCCAATACTTATTGATAAAGAATACTTTTGTTTTCCTCTCAGATGGATACCAACAATGGCCTAAAGGTGTAAAGGAAAAGACAAAGCTGGTTCCTCGAACAGCCACGTCCTTTTTTCCCTTTCGTTTTCTCACTTCTTGGTTCAGAATGGTGTAATAGGAAGAACGAGCTTTGAGATATGACAGATCTGGGATGGAATCTCATTATTGGCCATGGCCTTGGAGAACTCATTTAAACTATACTACCTCCCCTATAAAATAGGAATAATAATGCCTTCTTAAAGTTTTAATGAGATTAAATCTCATAAAAAAAATTTAAAAAGCTATGCAAACACCTAACTGCTCAATTCGTTTTAGCCTCCCTTCCTTTCTAACAATCATTCCGATACGGTGGCTGGAAAAGTTCCATCCAATTTTCACCCAGCAAGAAATTCTTTCCTGGTGTCTGTTAGAATTTAAGCTCTTCAGAGACTTTCCATTATCAGCAAACATACATTTCCCTAAGAACTGATGAAACCAAGGCCTCATTTTAGCCGGCCTAAAATGAGGCCTTGGTTTCATTTTAAGCCGACTAAAATGACTTTCATGAATCAATGCAAACTGATTTTAGGCACTTATTACAGATGGACAGAGTCTCACTTCAGTTGAGTTGGTTTTATTTAGAAGTAAGTCTGGGGAGGTCTGGGGAGACTGGCAATAATGTCCCTTGAGATCTCATTGGTAAGTATTTTCTTTGACAATACTAATAAGATAGAAGGATGAGTTTAACAATTATTTTAATGTCGCAGATAACAGCAAAATAGCCCTCCAAAAACAGATCTCTTTAAGTCAGCTGTGGCATTACCATTCTCAACCCCTAAAAAGAACTGCTTTGAGTCCCCACAGCAGGGCTGCTTGTGTTCCTGACAGACATTCACGGAAACACATTAAACAGAGCAAGTGGCGTGCCAAACACGGCCGATTCTTTCAATCTGCCAAACAGAACTGAGAAGCAGAACCGGGTTTAGTTGTGTGCTCCTTGAAAACCTTTGCAATATGTCTCTGGAATGTTCTCAGGAGCCAAGCAGCTTCAAGAAGGCAGAGCAGTCACATCAGCTATCTCCTCTCACTCCTGCCTTTCTTCAGGGCGTGTTTGGGAGGAGGCTTTTTGTCATTAAAAGCATCAACTGGTCACCCACCTGGAACAGTAAGGCTGGACCCCAGTTTCTACACCCGATACTCTCTCCGGGCCTACGGATGCCGCCTACCGGAGCCGAGAGGGTCCTCATGGCCTCCGCCCTCCAGCCCACGCTCCTCCCGATGCCAGCCCTGGTCCCTGCCGCTCCCCTACATCACTGCCTGCAATTCCCTGGTGCCACCGTGGCCAGGTCAGGCCCCTACTCGCAGAGACGCCTCCCACCATCTAGCCCTCCTGTGCGGTGCTCTCACTTCCGGGACTGAGCTGCACGAAGGAAGAGCCCATGCCGTCCCGTGTCCACCTGGCAATCCCTATTTATCCTTGAACATCTGCAGACACCACGGGCTCTGGAAAATCTTTCCAGCTAGCACGCGTCCCTTCAGACTCCACCAGTTACTGTGCAAATCCCACACCTCGTACACATCCGTTTAACAAATCATTATTAAGCACCTACTGGACGCCAGGCATTGGGTTCAAGGACACAAGAGGAGCAACACTGGGACAATACATATACATCACACTGTGCTCATCACATAGAATTATAGTTACTTCAGAGCTACCTCTAGGACCAGCGCCATATTCTATGTACTTCTGAATTATCAGTACTAAACCCAGTGCCTGGTGAATATTCTTGCAAAATATTGATGGCACATACCTGAAACTGAAGAGAAAGAAAATACATACAGAACAAATACATACATTGGATTTATACTGTTAAAAAAATAAATTTTTTATTAATGTGATACTGTAAACCAACTATATTTAAATAAAAAAATAAAAAAATGCTGACTGTGCCCTGGCTCGTGAGTCTGCTGGGTGAAGTGTCATCTGTGCACCAAAGGGTCTTGGGTTCGATCCCCAGTCAGGGCATGTATGGGAGATAACTGATAGATGTTTCTCTCTTTCTCCCTTTCTCTCTCTCTCAAACCAATAAAAACAGCCGAAACCGGTTTGGCTCAATAGAGCGTTGGTCTGCGGACTGAAAGGTCCCAAGTTCGATTCCAGTCAAGGGCATGTACATTGGTTGCGGGCACATCCCTGGTAGGGGGTGTGCAGGAGGCAGCTGATCGATGATTCTCTCTCATCGATGTTTCTAGCTATCTATCCCTCTCCCTTCCTCTCTGTGAAAAATCAATAAAATATTGATATTTAAAAAAAAATAAAACCAATAAAAACATACCCTCAGGTGAGGATTAAAAAAAAACAAACACCCTGTGAAAGAATTAGCTACTAAATAGCTGTTACAACTAACTTAATAACAGGCAGGAACACTTACTGAGCATGTACTATCCAGGCACTGTGCTGAACCCATTACAGGCATAATTTAGTTTCCAGACCATATATAAAGAAGATGTTATATAACCCTCATTTTAGAGAAGAAAGCTGAGACAGTGCTGTCCAATGCTGCAGCCACTAGCCACATGTGGCTATGATTATTTTACAGTTTTTTATTTTTATGTTTTTATTAGATATTTATTTTAATCCTCACCTGAGGATATTTTTTCCATTGCTTTTATTGTATTTTATATATACTAGAGGCCTGGTGCACAAATTTATGCATGGGTGTGTGTGTGGGGGGTCCCTCAACCTGGCCAGCGATCAAGGCCTATCGGGTGGACTGGCCAGTCAGGGGGGAGGGACTGTGGGAGGTTGGCCTGCTGCCCCTCTCCCCATTGGGATCTGGGGGAAGGAGCCACGTGAGGTTGGCTGTGGGAATGCATTGACCACCAGGGGGCAGCTCCTGCATTGAGCATCTGTCCCCTGGTGGTCATTGTGTGTCACAGCGACTGGCAGACAGGTTGTTTGGTCATAATGGTCGCTTAGGCTTTTATGTATATAGATATATTTCAGTTTATATTTATTTTTGAAAGTATTACAGAAGTCCTCCTTCCCCCCCCCATTGATCCCCTCTATCCAGATCTCATTTCCTCCCCAGGTTCATTGCTTTTAGACAGAGTGGAAGGGAGAGAGAGAGAGTGAGAAACATCAATGTGAGAGATATATTGATTGGTTGTCTCCTGCACATGCCCTGACCAGGATTGGGGAAGGAACCCGCAACCCAGGTTCGTGCCCTTGACCAGGAATCGAACCCGAGACCTTTCAGTGCGCAGACCAACGCTCTAACCACTGAGATACTGACAGGGCTATTGTGTTTTAAATGTAGTTGGCACAACTAACTGAGAAACAATTTTGAATTACGTTAAATTTTAATGAGTTTAAATTAAATAGCCACACGCAGCTAGTGGCTATTGTATATTCAATAGTAGACTAAACTGTCTCATTCGTAAAATGAGATGAAGTAAATAATTCCAAACATCCCTTCCTGCTCTGAAAGTCTGTTCTTTGTATCACTGGCTTCTCTGCAAGGGAGGACGTGCAGACCAGGAGATCAAGAAGCTACAGAGACACAGTTACTTCTCTGTGCGCACATCTATGAAATCACCCATGCGGATGCATTTAACCAGCACACCCTGACACCTAGATATCCGCCAAGAACTGTGCCAGGCACTGCAGAAGCTATCCAAGCTATCCAAGACAGGCAGGAGCGCTCCTGGAGAGGAGGCACACCATGGACATGAGACTGAGGAAGGGGTGCTACCCTGAAGGGCAGACAGGACATGTCTGTGTTCAGTACAAATGTAAGCAAAAAGGGAAGGACTGGCACTATCCAGTTTGGCTCGGTAGATAGAGTATCAGTCTGTGGACTGAAGGATCCCAGGTTCAATTCCGGTCAAGGGCACATGCCTGGGTTGTAGGCTCGATCCCCAGTGCAGGAGGCAACTGATCAATGATTCTCTTTCATCATTGATGTTTCTATCTCTCCCTCTCCCTTCCTCTCTGAAATCAATAAAAATATATTAAAAAAAAAAAAAAAAAAAGGACTGAATGTCATGTGAACACAGGCTAGACGAATTCCAAATCAGAGGAAAAACATGATGCAGTTGCTAGAAAGCCACTTTTTAAGTCACCTTTTGAGAAAGCAGCTATTGTCTTAAAGAGAGCATGTGTTGGTAATTCTGCAGAAGGGAACACACAGAGTTACTGAATCACATGCAGGGTTGCATTTGGAGGTGGACTCTATAATCTACAGTGTTGTCCAGTCCCAGAGACCCGGAGCTGGAAAGGAAACAGGCGGGGCACATACCTCCTCTAGGCTGAGCTGCAGATACTCAAAGATCCTATATGGATTTCTTCTGCAGACGAGTCTCTTCTTTTGTGCCGACTGAAGAGAAAGAACGGTAATACATACAGGACAAATGGGAAGCACTGCATTTTATGCAAAGGAGACTGCATTTTAAAATGAACATCTTTCCTATAAATTTCCCACATTCACGTTTGTTGGATCCATACTATTAAAAAGTAGTAAGTTTTTATTACTTATGTGGAAAAGCTTTGTTTCTCTACTTCAACATTTTATTCCCTTTCTTTGTGCCCCACGAGTATTTCCCGCGGTGATCATTTTGTTGGTTGATTTTATGTGCCGCTTTTTTCATTGTACCTCGTAAGCATGTGCCTAAGGTTCTTAATGAGCCATAAACCTCGCTCGAAAGGCTAGCTAATATTTCTTCAAGTGGGTGTTTCGCATACTCCTTAACGATTAGATTGCTTCTCGTGGTTAGCTCTTACAGATAATTCCAGGGCGACTCCGGCAGAGTGTCCCTTAAAGAAGTGCCTGCTAACTGCTTCCCGGGGGACGGCTGACCTCCACGCCTGAGACCCGCCCCTCGGCTGTCCTCAGACGATGTGTCATCACCACTGCATTTCTTTCTCTTCCTAGCAAGACTGGATTATTGGACCTGCTTTAATTTATTAAAAAGGTAAGTTATGCCGGGACCGGTTTGGCTCAGTGGATAGAGCGTCGGCCTGCGGACTGAAAGGTCCCAGGTTCGATTCCGGGCAAGGGCATGTACCTTGGTTGTGGGCACATCCCCAGTGGGGGGTGTGCAGGAGGCAGCTGATCGATGATTCTCTCTCATCGATGTTTCTGACTCTCTATCTCTCTCTTCCTCTCTGTGAAAAATCAATAAAATATATTAAAAAAAAAAAAAAAAGGTAAGTTATACACAAACTTTAAAGGTTTTAGTTGAAACAGCCCTCACAACTACTGAGCCAGCAGAGCAGGACCCAGTGCTGGCTGGCTGCCCTGGAGCGTCTGCAGTATGATGTCCTGACTGCCTCTCACATAAGCCGGGTGCTAATATGGGACTGCTACCAGTTCCAAGTAAGGGACATCCAATCAGCCAACACCTTCTATTGGCCAGAAACAAATGGCTTTGGAAGAAGTGATTTATTTTCTTCTACTTACTTTCTCACGTGGGGCATCTTCCTTCTCGCTCACATCACACACGACTTCCTCCACCAGCACGTACTCATCAGCAGGCCCTCCCTCTCTGGCACAGAGGAGACCCCCTCGCTGGCCGCTGTCCCGAGCACCACACTGGGAGAGAACATCTTTTTGGCTACAATGGATGTGGGACAGAGGTGCAGTGACCTCCGATAAGTGTTTATTGAAGTCGTTTGCAGCCAGTGGGTCATGCCCAGAGCCGTCCTGCAGGCGGTCTGATGGCTTGCTGGGATCCTCCGTATCGTCTGACTTTCCCAAGTCTCCGTTCGTCACAGGAAGTTTCGTTCTATCTGCTATGGATTCTATTTTGGAAACCATTTCAGAGTTCATCTCATCATGCAATGGAACGTCTTCATTCTGTTCTAGGCAAGGATGCTCAAGTGGTTTTGTGTAATCTTCAAGGATTCTGTGCACTGTGCTCTCATCCTTCCCCTGTCTTCGTATGAGCTCTTTGGCCCATTCTACACTACGCTGATACCTGAAAAATAGAAATAGTGTTAGCAACAACACTTGAATTTAAGAATTTAAAAGACAACAGACCAAAAAAAAAAAAAAAGCCCATAAAAAAAAGACAACAGAACATGTAAAAAAGATGAGAAGGTAGTATGCCAAAATGTTTACAGTGTTTTTTCTCAATGGTGAACTATAGGTATATTCTTTATACTTTTCTGCATCCTCTACCTGTTCTACAATGAACATGTACTACTTTTGTTTGCTTTTATTATAGAGCTTCATTTAACTTCCTGAATTAAAAAAAAAATTAACCTCAGTTTAGCAAAGTATGACAATTTGTGTAATTTAAAATTGGAGGACCAAATGATTTTGGTAAACATAAAGAGAAAATGGTCACTCTTTGTCAGAACTTGTTCTGTGCTATTTTCAATTTTAGGTATTACATTTATAGATATATCTTCCATTCATAACATAAAGAGTTTTTATTTGGTATTGGAAAGCAAAAACGAACATTTCGATATTTTTCACAGTACCTCCTAATGTCTCAGTGAAGGTCACATGGAAAAAAATGTTTACGATTATGTACATATAGCCAAGCAATCTAACAGTAAAGGCCCCTTCTTCCATAATTTTTGAACTATATTTTAACGAGAAAATACATGCTTAGTTTCTTAAACTTGAAGGCAAATCCTGAACACCTCCCAGTAACAGAATTTACAACAAGACAACAGGGCTCCGTCGGCACCTAACAATGCTGCTGGGATGGTGCATGGAACTCGAGGCCTCGCCACGGGTGGGAAATCCCGCCTGCGGAAGGCCAAAGACTGTGACACTCACAGCAATCAGTGTCAAAAGCACCTAAGAGGACACATGGCTTGTGAGATGTCAGATGTAATTTTAGTCTTAACCTTGAGTGTTTTGTCTGCATAGGGATGACTGACTGTCATAGCTTATAAACTGCTACATCCCACACACAGTTAAACAAGGAAAGTGGCTTCTGCAGTATTTGAAAAAGAGATCTGTGGCTACTTAATCCTAATTCATCAGAAGAATCTCCAAACTCTCCACATCCTGTTTATTCTACATGGGGATGAACATGCCTTCCTGTATACTGGGGACAGTCTGTTAGATTTAAAAATTAAAACCTGCCAAGGCTACTCTAACACTGAAAAAACAGGATGATGCAGCGATGACATGCATGGACTCTGGCCTTGTACATTCTGTGGTCAGCCCTGATTCTGACACTTATAACTGTGTGACAAAGCCAATTACTTAACTTCTCTTTAAAATGGGGAAAATGGTACTACTGCCCGAGAAGGATCATGTTATGTACTACTTTTTATAACCAGGGCAAAAAAATGTAGCTGCCCATGCAACAGCGAGATGCCTTTCACTGGTATAAGTATGGTCACTGGTGCATGCAGTTAAAACTTTCACCTGGGGCTGAAACCGGTTTGGCTCAATGGATAGAGCGTCAGCTTGGGGACTGAAAGGCCCTGGGTTCGATTCTGATCAGGGGCATGTACCTTGGTTGCGGGCATATCCCCAGTAGGGGGTGTGCAAGAGACAGCTGGTCGATGACTCTCTCTCATTGATGTTTCTAACTATCTCTCTCCCTTCCTCTCTGTACAAAATCAATAAAATATATTAAAAAAAAAAAAAAAACTTTCACCTGGGAAGAATTAGAGAACATCATGCTGAGTGAAATAAGCCAGTCAATGAAAGAGAAACACCACATGACCTCACTCATTTATGGATATTAAAGAACATTATAAACTGATGAACCAAAAGACAGATATAAAGACAGTAAAGCAACAAGCAGACTTCAAATTACAGCGGGGAGGGGAGGGAGAACTGGGGGAGATAAGAGATAAATCGAAGGACTTGTATACATGCATATAAGTACAACCAATGGACACAAAACTCTGGGAAGGGAGGATATGTATGGGGGAGGGACAATGTTAAAATATGTACACAGATAATAATTTAATAAAAAAAAAAGAATCAGAGGCATGGAAACAATAAAAAAACAAAAACGAAAAATTTTCACCTGAAAGATCTAAAAATAACCTTTGCTCTTCCTATCACTTAAAGCACTGGTTCGATGCTTTCATGGGACTAAAGTCTTCTTCATTTGAACACAAATCTTTGTGTCTATGTATATCTTTCTGGGGAAGGGATCCACTTTTATTAAATTCCTTGGCTCCAAATATATGAAAGAAGCACAGAATTAAAGATTCAACAGTTCCCCACTTTGAGCAGAAGAGCTGGAATAGAGAGAGACAGCACACACAGGTCACTGCTCTGCCCTCTGCAAAAAAGTGGCCAAGGCAGGTTTGAACTCCCTCACCCCTCCTTGGTCTTGCACTAGTTCTGTACCTTCCTGAGGTTCAGTTCCTCTGTGAACCAGGGGTCACTGAAGCTACCTCACGGGGCTGTGGCAGGGGTTTAAGGAGACAAGACGCGTGAAGTGCTCAGGATGTAGCAAGTGCTCGATAAATGTGTTACTGTGTGATTGCGAAGTTTTTAGGGAGACTTGAAAAATAAAGACATTTTGACTCAATATATGTCACATTGAAGTGCAAATGACATTTTAATGAACGGAAATGTACACCTTAGTTAACTGCTCTTCGAGGGCAGGGGCAGCCACGTGGGGACAAGGACTGCCCTTCGCGCTCCGCAGCTGGCACTTCTGCGGTTCTCAGCTAAGCCACCAAGCACCTCCCGCCTATGTCTGCTTTCCTGACAAATGCCAGAATCATGACTGCATTTCTGCCTCCGAATGACCTCAGATATTTAGGGAAGAGCGCATGAGACGGTGGCTATAAAAGTACGGAGAAAAAAAGACTCTAAGTAAGGCTGGTGATGCAAACAGCCAGACGCACAAATGACTAAGACACATGGCATATGGGTCGTGGAACAGGTGTCCTCTCCTTGGCTGGCAATGCCTTCAAGAGCCAAATCCTCCCGCAATTAGCCCCGAACCCTGCCGAGAAACGCAGAAGAGAAGTGGAAGTCAGAAACACGGGGGAGAGTGGCAGAAGGGAAAGGTGGCAGCAGCTCTGGTCAGAAGCCGTAATGAGGCTGAGGAAAAGCAGGCCCATTTTAGGGCAACAACGCAGATGGTACCACTTGAACACGCCTAAGCTCCTCGTGTTTCTATGCCTTGAGCACACCGCTTCCATTTCCACAGAATGCGCCCTTCTCTACCATCTTATTGCTTAGGCCCCTTTATCACAGGGAGTTCACGGCAAACTGGTTTTGAGTCAGCCTGCTTAGGTGCAAGTACAGCCGTGAGCAGGTTTAACCTCCTCTGGTTCTGTTTCCTCACCCGTCAAAGTCAGAAAATAACAGAACCCACCTCACGGAGGGGATGGAAGGACTTAACGGAGACAATCCATCAACATGTTATTAGCATGGTACCTAGCACAAGGAACATATTTCAGAAATGCCAGCATACAAAACTGTATTATTCTCATTATGGTCAGTTCCTTTCAGGCTCTGGAGCTGGACTTTCTGGCTTAATCTCATGTCATCTTGGGCAAGGTAACTGCCGATTCCCATGTACGGGATCGGAAGGACTACACCCGCCGGAAAGGTTTCTTAAGATGACCTGAGATGGCACAGGTGTACAGACCAGTAACTGGCACTGTTGGAGCAACCAGAACCCACTGGCCGTAATGCTGAGGATGGTGTTGTTGGCCATAACCAGAAGCCCACATGAGGCGTGGAAGGATCCTCCCCTAGAGCTGTCTGAGGGAGCACAGCCCTCCGTGCCTTGGTTTTGGATTTCTGGCCTCCAGATCTGAGAATAAATTTCTCTTCTAAGCCACTCAAGTTCGTGGTACTCTGTTATGTCTAGGGAACCAATACAGGGATCAATAACATCCTTGGAATATTACACTGAAGAGATTACGAGGGATAACCCTCAGGCGGATGACATTCAGAAACCTACATACTCAAACTGGCTTGATGTCACGTCACCTTTATTGCCAGCCTAATCGGGATGCAGCTGAGGGGCGGGCTTCTCTTCAGTTTCTTGGTCTCAGTGCTGGTTGCAGCGACCTGCCTATACTGCGGCCCTCCAGGGACGCGGGTTCTGCCAGGTTCTTAGCAGGCCCCTCCCACAGCCTGGGCCCTACCCCCACGCCCAGCCTGCAGTCTTAGCCAAAGCAGCCACTGAGATCTCCCCGGTGCCACTGCCTCCCAGACCCTCATCTGGCCACGGGGTTACTGGCATGTGAACAAAAGGGGCTCTCGGATCCTGTCAAACACGCAGAAGCAGGGTGGGGATCCACTGTGGGCTGCGTGGTTTTAAAGGCTTCCGAGAGGAGCTGTGATTTGAGCTGCTCCTCAGGGATGAAGAGGTCTTAGATGGACTAACACAAGTCGACAAGATCCTACCAAGGGAACGCTGGTGCTGGTGCTGCCAAGAGGAACCAGACGTGGTCCCTGCTCTCTGAAAACTGACGTTCTAAATGTTGGGGTGTGACAAACCGTGCCGTGAGGGCCCACAAAGCAGACTCCATGGAGCTGGAGGAATGACGCCCAGCTCAGCGGAGGGAAAGACAGTGGAGTGGAGAGAAACTCAGAGAGCGCCCAGCAGGCTGTGTGGAGTGTGGAGAAAGCCAGGCTGTGTGTGTATGTGTGTGTGTGTGTGTGTGTGTGTGCAGGGTGAGGGAGAAATGCCCCAGGGGAACAAAGCCCAGAGGAAGGATTCGCACGAGAGTGGACGAGGAAGAGCCTCTGGGAAAGCTTGTCCCTCACCCTGAATGTGCAGAGCGAGGACTGGGCCGGGCGTGTGAGCCCACACAGCACAGGAAGCCAGTTCTAAACGGAAGTCTAAGCACCTTGGCACTTAAAGACATATACATTGCAGGGCAGTTGTTCATATTCTGGAAGGAATTCAACTTGCAAAGGATTTGGTTTAGGATTATTTTTAAAAATAAACTTAGTACAATATTATTTGATTCACATTAAATTTAGATACATTTCAAAGACTATTAAAAAAAAAAGGCATAAACTACACATCAAAAAAGATTACCTAAAAATAGACCCCTTTTAAGCCATAATTTTGATCAATTAAGCCGAAATTCACCATGACTTACTTCTTTGATGTGATTATAGGCATATTTGTCTTCATATCTGTAACAACAAAGAAGTTCTTTTAATTCAGACAAATTTTCCTTAAGGAGCCCAAACACTGACAACCTAGAAAACACTAAGGGTGTTTCAACATCCACAAAATCACATCCCTAGAAGGCTGACTGCCCAACCAGCAACGGCAAATACGTGCTTTATATGCCATCACTCCTGCACACAAACCCCTGGCAGGCGCAGCTGACCAATCAGTGCTCTTGCTGGGCTCAGATGTGACCTCGGAATCCTTCTCAACTCAGCACTGCAGCTAAGCAGGATGGCGTGCAAGAGGCATCCTTTCTGCCACCTCTGAAGGCTCATGCTCTTAAGTTTCGGATGAGAATTCAGAGGCCCTAACGTTACCCTCAATGCCCTGTGCTACATACAGCATCGTCAGTGAAAGCTGTGCCCGCAAGAAGGGCTGTTACAGGAAGTTTCATGGTGGAGTTTGGGTGTGAATCTGCATACCAGGTGACTCTCTAACCAACTGAGCTACCCAGCCAGGGTTTTGGGCCTGGACTGGGAGTTCTGGGCTCTATTTCTAGCTCTGGGTATATGGCTGAGGGGGTCTTTCCACCTAAAATGTTTATTGGGCCACCTAATGGTGTGGGTTTTAGACAACATGGATGGGCCTAGAGGGTATTCTGCTGAGTGAAGTCAGTCAGACAAAGAAAGACAAATACCATATGATTCCACTTACATGTGGAATTGAGAAAACAAAATAAACCAAACAAACACACAGACATAGGGAATAAACTGATGGTTTCTGGGTGGGAGGGATGTTGAAGGGTTGGGTGAAAAATAAGTATTTGTTTCTGTGTCTCTCTTCCCCATCCCTCCTTTCTGAAATCAATACAAAACAAACAAACAAACCACAACATAACCATCAGAGGACACAGAATGTCGTGTTGACTCTTATGTCATCAGCACCACTGCTGACCAATGCCTAGATCTAACAATTCATTAAAGGTTGCAAAACAGTGACATTCTAATCCTACTATTTATTCTTTGTTTAATAGCAGGATTCTTCTATAAAGACAGATCCCTCACTATGTGGCTACCCTAGGAACCAGTCATATATTCCAGTTTACAAAATGATGTATCCTCCATAGGTGTCTGACGAATTTCTTCTGGCAAGTGTCAGTATGATCTAAAGGATTCAAGCATTTTGGTGGTATTGTTATGAATGAATACATTTTAAAATAAATTGTAGTATTATTCTTATCAATACCCAAATGTTTCCGTGGCCTCTTTTGAAATAAGCCTAGTAGTTTTGGTAGCTTCCTTGCTTCCTGGTACAAGATGTTTCATCTAAAAAATCCTGGCTTAACTACACCATCAAAATGATTGATTTGCTTAATTATACAATATACATACCACAGGCTCAGCATAACTGTAACACTACAACCTATAAAATACTTGCTGAAAACAATGTGAAGATTATTTTGTAGCTCTTTCTTTCTTTAGAGTACATGTCAGGTGGATTGCCCCACTTCTTCAGGTCTGCCATCTGCCAAACCCTTTGACGTTGGGCCAGTGAAATCTCAGCAAGCATGATGCAAATAGAGGCTTCCCCCTTTTCCCCCCGACATTCCTCATCCCAGCTGAGGCCATCTTAGACCAGTTGACAGCCAAACAATCAGTGAGTCCAGCTAGATCCATTACTGGACTAGACCCATTACAGCAGCCAGTTGACCCATGACTAACATAAGGACGAGCCCATCCAGCCAAGATCAGCACACCTACCCAGCAAACCTATAGACTTGTAAGCAATTTGGTTGCTACTGAAAGCCACGGAAATTTGGGGTGGTTTGTTAAATAACATTATAGCAAGAGATGATTGACGGAAAGTCTATCCCGTTAGAATTGAATAGTCAAGTTATCATGTTTTGAAGTCATTCAAAATCGTTTCCTCCTTGTGGCTATACCACTAATTTGATATACAGGCTCTTTTTTATTTCAAGAATTAAAATACATGAGAGTGTTTCTCAGGGCCTCACCAATGGTCAGACTTTTAGATTTTTGCCAATCTAATGGCTGAAGTGTCTCAGTAGAGTAGTTTTTTGTTTGTTTGTTTTACAATATAATGTTTTTAAAAATCCTTTCTAGCCCTGCCTGGTGTGGCTCAGTTGGTTGGAGCATTGTCCCATGCACAGAGGGATATGGATTCGATTCCTGGTGGAGTACATGGTGTGGGTCCAATCCCTGGAGGGGCATCTGTGGAGGCAACCGATCAATGTTTCTCTCCCTTCCTTTCTTGTTCTAAAAATCAATGAAAAGTATATCCTCAGGTGAAGATTAAAAAAAAATCCTTTCTAATTATGTGTTTTTTTATTTTTTATTTTATTTTGTACAGAGAGGAAGGGAGAGAGATAGAGAGCCAGAAACATCGATGAGAGAGAATCATTGATCAGCTGCCTCCCGCACACCCCCCACTGGGGATATGCCCACAACCAAGACACATGCCCTTGACCAGAATCGAACCCGGGACCCTTCAGTCCCCAAGCCGACGCTCTATCCATTGAGCCAAACCGGTCTCGGATCTAATTATGTTTTAATCTGATATTGGCTATGTAATTACCATGAGACTTCCCTAGAGAAATACACTAAAAGATTTATGGTTTAAAAGGACCAGCAAGTGAGAACTACACACATTATTATGTTTTAACAAATACATCAATGTTGTTAAAGTTGTTGTAAATACTAACTCTAGAAATAAAACTCATTTTGCATTCAGGTAAGCAGGTACCTAATTATCACCACCTTTCACATGCACAATACTCTTCTAAGCAATGCTTAACAACAAAGCCTGAATAACACTTTTGATAATTCCAGAAATTAGATAAAATGCATTTCAATTAAAAGAGCCTTTTCACCTTTATTAAAATGATTCTAACTCCTATTTTTAGCAGTAAAATTGTCAGTGTGCATTTTACTTGTCCAGTAGAATTTTATGATATAATCCGAGGTGCAGGTTAAAAATGAAAGAAAATAATACTTTGCCACAAGAACTGAATGACATGCAAGTTTACCTTTCCATTTAGCAACCAGCTTGGGATCTGAAATTGTGAAGTTTGGCCGGCTTCTAGACAGGATTCCTTTTCCAAAATAACCCTTCCAGGAAGAGAGAAAATAAAGTTAGTTCACCTTTAGTTATCAATTTTTTTAGCTGAGGGAGGATCACAATTTGAGTTAACAAAGTTTATTTCACTTTTCACAGCTTTACACCTTCCCTCTGATTATCTAATGAATACAAATACAGATTATCTAATAAAAATACAAATAGCATTTTATCTCTGTGATAAGTTTCTAGTATACCTCTTTTGTCTCATAACTAATGATTTCAGTCTAGGTCTGATAAGCTGAAGGCGACAGGGCAGGCAGGGACGGAGCCTGTGTCTAAAAGCAGGAACCCAGTCTACCAGGTACAAAAAGCTTCCTGGGTTCTCTTATACTCCTGCCTGCTGATTCCAAAACAACATGGGTCCCCCCCGCCCCATTTCTTAATTTAAGCCCACAGAAAACTGAAATTGAAAGAATAATAAAATGAACACCTTTACCCTCATTTAGATTTAACCGTCAGAATAAATAATCTGTATAGCAATTTACAAAGCTCCTATTTAATGTTATGTATTACAAATGTGAACAGACTACCTTTGGGTTAGACCTCCATCTAACCAAGGTCAATGCCACCCACTGTATCACACTTTGGGAAGATGGTTAAAACAAACATCCAGCTGATACCGGTTTGGCTCAATGGATAGAGCGTCGGCTTGGGGACTGAAGGGTCCCAGGTTCGATTCTGGTCCAGGGCATGTACTTTGGTTGCGGGCATATCCCCAGTAGGGGGTGTGCAAGAGGCAGCTGATCGATGACTCTCTCTCATCGATGTTTCTAGCTCTCTAGCTCTCTCCCTTCTTCTCTGTACAAAATCAATAAAAATATATTAAAAAAAACAAAACAAAACATCCATATATACATACATACATATATATATATATATTTACACACACACATACACACATACACACACACACACACACACGTATCTGTATATATATGTACATATGTAAATACTCACCTGAGGATATGTTTTTATTATTTTAGAGGGAGAAGAAGGGAGAGAGAGAGAAATATTGATGTGAGAAAGAAAATTGATCAGTTGCCTGACGAATGTGCCCTAACTGGGGATCAAACCTGCAACCTAGATATGTGCCCTGACCAGAATAGGACCAGCAACCTTTTTTTTTTTTTTTAATATATATATTTTTATCGATTTTGTACAGAGAGGAAGGGAGAGAGATAGAGAGCTAGAAACATCTTTGAGAGAGAGTCATCGATCAGCTGCCTCTTGCACACTCCCTACTGGGGATATGCCCGCAACCAAGGTACATGCCCTTGACCGGAATCGAACCCGGGACCTTTCAGTCCCCAAGCCGACGCTCTATCCATTGAGCCAAACCGGTTTTGGCCCAGCAACCTTTTTTGGTGTACAAGATGCTGTTCCAACTGAGCTACCTGGCCAGGGCAAAACCTATATATTTTATAAAAATGACCTATATATTTTATAAAAATGTCTAAAGAGGGCACATTTATAGCCAGGCAGTGGATCGCTGGGTGCCTTAGGCTGGGAGTGGAGCAGGGATTAAGTTTGAGGGCCTGAAGGAACTTTCTGTGTGGATGGGAAGGCTCTAAAATGGGATTGTGGTGGTGGTTGTGCAACTCTATGAATTTATTACAATCACTGAATTGTACACTTACAATGGGTGCATTTTATGGCTGTAAATTATACCTCAATAAAGCTGTTTAAAAAGTGGCCCACTGATGAACCGGCTATGAGGGGCAGGGAGGGGAGCAAGTTACCAATCTCAACCCTAACCTATCATCAACAGAAATCAGCAAAAACTATACAACTTGTCCTCAGCTAAGAAGAGGTCCCCAACTTGAGAGAGCGCAGATGCGGAGCCAGAGTGAGTACATGCTGAAGCCTCATCTGATCTGTCCATGAGCCAGGCAATATGCCACTCTGGTTACCTCTGGGGATGGAAGGGGAATAAGTGGGGAATTTTAACTTTTTACCCATTAATTTAATTTCTATAAACTGCCTGAAAATTTTAAATATATTTTATTGATTTCTTATAGAGAGGAAGAGGGATAGAGAGTTAGAAACACTGAGAGAGAAACATTGATTCAGCTGTCTCCTGTACACTCCCCACTGGGGATGTGCCCATAGCCAAGGTACATGCCCTTGACCGGAATCGAAAATGGGACCCTTCAGTTCACAGGCTGATGCTCTATCCATTAAGCCAAACAGATTAGGGCAGTGGTCAGCAAACTCATTAGTCAACAGTACAATGATTGAAATTTCTTTTGAGAGCCAATTTTTTTTTCTTAATATATTTTATTGATTTTTTACACAGAGAAAGGGAAAGAGATAGAGAGTTAGAAACATCGATGAGAGAGAGTCATCGATCAGCTGCCTCTTGCACACCCCCTACTAGGGATATGCCCGCAACCATGGTCCATGCCCTTGACCGGAATCGAACCCGGGACCCTTCAGTCCCCAAGCCGATGCTCTATCCACTGAGCCAAACCGGTTTCGGCGAGAGCCAAATTTTTTAAACTTAAACTTCTTCTAACACCACTTCTTCAAAATAGGCCCAGGCTGTGGTATTTTGTGGAAGAGCCACACTCAAGGGGCCAAAGAGCCGCAGTTTGTGGACCATGGGGTTAGGGCATGAATTTTTTTTTTTTTTTAACACAATGAATATACATTGCTTTTTATAACTGAAAGATAAGAAGGGTCAATGTTACTGACCCTACTTTATTGTTGAAACGTGGGTCCAGGGTGGGGCAGTTATCCTCATAATATATGTCTTTAGGGCACCTGAGTCAAACTGTAGTGTTCCTACAGGAGACTGAATAGCAAGAAAAGAATCCGGGTCATTTATGATTTGTTGTGGGAGTGGATGGAGAGGAGGAGGAGGGAGAGCTGGCTCAGGGTTGTCAGGAAGTAGCTGTGCCAGGGCCCCTTGTACTTACTTTCCCATACAGCTGCTCAATGTCTTCTGCGTTCCTCACAATCACATTGTTGTTTATCATTTCAGCACGGAATATTCTGAAGTCTTTCTGACCAAAAGGGATCGGAAATGGAGACTCGTAATTCTCATACACTCTTCTTTTCCTCTTCGGGGCATGGAAAGAGGCTTCCGCCATTTTTCAAGTGTAACTGTTCTTCAAAGAATACAATGAAGAGAAAGAAACAGTCAATCAATAACTACACTGATTAAAAAAAAAATGTAAGTACACTTATACCTAGGCTCAGAAAACCTAGGTCTATGGAAAATATAAAATATTTATAAAGCAGTGAACTAAAAGTCACAGAGTCACAAGAATATTTTGTAAAAGCAGTGTAAATCTCATTCACCTAGAATATCTCAGTTAATTCCTACAACAATGCCCAAGAAGACAGTGGCATTATTTCTAACTACAGCTGACAAGACTGAGGCCTCTTGATATGCCCCCAAAGTCACAATGCTACGCAAAAGTCTCCTAAAAGCCAGCACAATAGGACTCCTGCCTAGTTCGGTTACTCCCGTTCTTTCACTCGGCCAATAGACTTGTATGGAGTACCTATCAGGGGCTCCTAATATCAGAGGTGCTGGGGATATAAAGATAAAACCAAGAGACCCTGCTCTCAAAGAATTAAATTTAGTGAGCACTTCATTTAAAAAAAAAAAAGGGGGGGGGGTTTAAAATACATTCCAAACATTATGTCAATCATCTTCCAATTAAAAAAAAAAAAGTGTATTGATTTCAGAGAGGAAGGGAGAGGGAAAGAACGATAGAAACATCAATGATGAGAATCATTCATTGACTGCCTCCTAAACACTCCCCACTGGGGATTAAGCCCGAAACCTGGGCATGTGCTCTGACCCAGAACCAAACCATGATCTCCTGGTTCATTTGTCAATGCTTAACCACTGACCCACACCAGCCAAGCAATCATCTTCCAATTTTTAAGGTAAGTTGATAAGTAAAAATGACAAAAGTAATTCCCAATTAAGGGTCCATTATGTACCTCCAACTGGAATGGAATTGGCTTTGCTATTTCCTAGTCGTGCGACTGTGGGCAAAGGTTACTTAATCTCTCTGTGCCTTGGTTTCCTCATCTGCAAAATAAGAATGAAAGCAACCACCCTCTATGTTACGGTTAGGACCCATCAAGTGCTTAGAAGAGTATCCAGTTCACAGTGAGCGCTGTGTGTGTATTTGATATAATTAGTATTATGGAGTGAGACTACCAGCATCATTATATAGATGAGGAAATGGATTCAGGTTCAAGACCTATATATATATATAAAACCCTAACATGCAAATAGACCGAATGGCAGAACTGAAAAATTGGTTGCTATGGCGTGTGCTGACCATCAGGGACACAGGTGGAACATGGCGGGCAGGCTTCAGCAGCAAGCGGCAGAGTGCGGAACATGGCAGGCATGGGCCGCGGCAGGATGGTGGAGCAGGTGATCGGGGTACCAGACCAAGGTGGGGCACCAGTCGCTGTCATCAGGGTGAGCCTCTGGTGGACACTGAAAATCCTTTGTTCCCGCACGCTGTGTCCCACCCGGCTCTCGCACCTGCAGCCTGTGCCGGAGCCACTGCTTGCACCCGCTGACAGCACCAGCCCTGCTCGCATCTGCTGCATCTGCTGCTGGCGCCAGCGCTGTGTCGTCAGCGGGTGTGAGCAGGGCCAGCGCCTTCAGTATGTGGGAGCAGGGCTGCTGGCAGACAGGGGACCAGGGGTGCAGCATGAGGCACTGAGCGGGGGTGCAGAGGCTGGGCCCCTGTTGCTTTTGAGTCCTATATAATAAAGAGCTAATATGCTAATTAGACTGAACAGCCGAGTGGCCTTCTAGACATCCTTCTGGACATCCTTCCAGATGACCTTCCAGACACAGCCGGGGCTGCGAGGGCTGAGCATCTTGCACGAATTTCGTGCATTGGGCCCCCAGTGTTATATAAAAGGCTCCAGAGTTGGGCACTAGGCCATCCCAGGTTTGCTGAACTCCAAAGCCCATGCTCTTTGCTCCGGGTTCTGCAGTAACCGCAGGGAGCATCTGTCCCCCTTTGTCTGAAGCCTCACTGTTTCTCCAAGGTTAGAAGCTAACGGGTTTTGGAGAACTGTGGGATTGCAGTCAGCAGTAGGAGGGAGTACAAGGAAGCTGAAGTCAGTACCTCTCCCTTCCAGGCCTTACACTCAGTCTGAGACAAAACAAGCACCAAACAGGCTGCAATTCAATAATGGCGAAAGGAAGGAAGTAGAGTTGAGTGTATTGTGCGATAAAAACACAGAGCCACAGAAGATGCATTTAACTTGGGAAAACTCAACCATACGCAAGGGGAAAAAAATGTAAACAGGGCAAGAGATTGGCCAGCTACCCCGAACACTGAGCAGACGCCCTAGAATGAGACAGAAGACTTGAATCTGCTGCTCCCTCAGTCCTGGGTCTACTCGATTTAAGCTGAGAGTGTGCCTGCTGCTTGAAGATACAGTGGAGCCCTTTTAAACTACATGCTCCGAACCCTCACAAAGAAAGAAATAGGACTCATTTAGGTGCCTCCTCCATTCAAAACCAACAACATCCCACTGCGCAGGGGATTAACCAAGCCTGACGCAGGCAATGAAAGTGGCCAAAGCTGAGAAAGGAGGTGAGTGGTCTTAAGGAATCATGACCATTCAAACAAACAAATAAATAAACAAAATTAAAAGCTTTGTCCAATGTATGATGTCTTTAGCCACCTTCTCAAAGAAGTTGAATAAAATGAGGACAGAGAAAAACACAGATCAAGGAAGAGTCACAGAAATTGATAAGTCAGTTACAAAGGTCATAGTGAAAAATAAGATCAGCAAGTCAGAACTTTCATAGAACTGCCCAAGTACTCCAAGCAGCAAAATGCTAGAATAATTTCTAAGTAAGATCCCTCAATGTGATCACGTACTGAGCATGACTGTACACACACACACTACAGCATTCAAAACAAAACTATGTATACTACATGTCAATGGGCAATTAAGAGATTTTCTTCCAAGGGTAACTTAACTAGATTTTCACTTGCTGACATATTCCTCAACCTAAGTCAGCTCTTTGGTATGCAACTGTAGAAATAGCAATTTACTTTTTTAAAAAAATATATTTTATTGATTTTTTACAGAGAGGAAGAGAGAGAGATAGAAAGTTAGAAACATCGATGAGAAAGAATCATCGATCAGCTGCCTCTTGCACACCCCCCACTGGGGATGTGCCCACAAACAAAGGTACATGCCCTTGACTGGAATCGAACCTGGGACCTTTCAGTCCGCAGGCTGACGCTCTATCCACTGAGCCAAACCAGTTTCGAGCAATTTATTTTAAAGCTTAAGCAATAGTGTAGTATTAGCTTTTCTGAGGCAGGACATTGATCTCTAGTGAGAAAATTTCTAGGGATTTCCAGGAGCAATTCAGACTTTTATGAGACCTTCACTTCTATAATTTAACCTCTGGTTAATATTTGACTTATATATATTACATTTGGAAACATTTTTTTTTTTTTTTAAAGAAAATACTTAGATTAAAAAAAATACTTAATGGCTAACTTCAAGAACTTCCAATTTAAATCCTCTCAAACAAGTGAAATGAAAAGTTGTGTTTTAATTTGTCTGGTTAGTTTAGGATTTCCCCTTTCTGATGGCAAATGTACTCTAAATAAGCAATACTGAGGTATGACACTTGATGACAAGAACTCTTGCCAGGTCGGTGTGGCTCAGTGGTTGAGCACTGACCTATGAACCAGAAGATCATGGTTGGATTCCCAGTCAGGGCACATGCCCAGGTTGCAGTCCTTGATCCCCAGTTGTAGGAGGCAGCCTAGAGGCCCAGAGCACAAAATTCGTGCACTCAGGGAGTTTGGGGGAAAGGGTCCCTCAGCCTGGCCTGAGCCCTCTCACAGTTGGGGAGCCGTTGAGGGATGTCCGACTGATGGCTTAGGCCCAGGGGGAGCAGGCCTAACCTTGCAGTCAGATATCCTTAGTGCTGCCGCAGAGGCAGGAGAGGCCCTCCCTGTGGGAGCGCACTGACTACCAGAGGGCAGGTCCTGCATTGAGTGTCTGCCCCCTGGTGGTCAGTGCAAGTCATAGCGATCAGTCGTTTTGCCATTTGGTCGATTTGCATATTAGCCTTTTATGACTGCTCATAGATATAGAGTTTATTTTGAGAGTGATGAAAATGTTTAGATTGCAGTGCTGGCTGCATAACTCTGCGAATATAATGAAAATCACTGAGTTGTACATTTTGCAAAGGTGAATGTTATGGTATGTGAATGCTCTCTCATGAAAGCTGTTATTTTGAAAATTCAGTAAGACAAGATGATCTCTAGCTTCACAGTTTTGTGGAAGAATTACCTTGTGCTGACCTTGGAAGGCAAAGAAGGGGAGAAAGGACTGAACTTGCCACTTTCAAAATCTGCAATAGGCATTTAGGAAATGTTTCTTTAGTGCCATGACAGAGAACAGTATAAGATGTGGGAGGTGAGTGAAATTAGAAGAAGTAACCGTCATCGGTAAGTACAATGCAGTATGCTACACAGGTGAGTACCACTATCCTGATTTCACAGACACAGAAACTCAGGCGTCTGGGAAGAAAGGCGTTGTCCAAAGCCCCACTGTTAGGGAAGATGTGAGGTTTGTAAGGCAGGGAGACTGGCCTACAAGAAGCCCATGTCTGGCCGAAACCCGTATGGCTCAGTGGATAGAGCTTCGGCCTGTGGACTGAAAGGTCCCAGGTTCGATTCTGGTCAAGGGCATGTACCTTGGTTGTGGGCACATCCCTAGTGTGTATGGGGGGTATAAGAGGCAGCTGATGGATATTTCTCTCTCATCGATGTTTCTAACTCTCTATCCCTCTCCCTTCCTTTCTGCAAAAAATCAATAAAAATATAAAAAATATATTAAAAAATAAAATAAAAAGAAGCCCATGTCCGAAGCACACACTGATGTACAGGAAGGCCTGGGTCAGCTGTCAGTGAGTGTGGGATGTGAAGGTTGGTTGGTTTGGTCTTGGAGACAGTGTAAGTCATGACAAATGAAGGGAGATGAACCACCTTCACCTGGGTTGGCATGTAACCGCGGCTCTCAAGCTTCGCTGCCCTTAGAATCACTGGCGCTAAGTTAAAACTCC